CTGCGGGCCCTGGACTTCCTTCAGTGGGCACTTGAGAGCTGTCCCATCTGGTTCCACGAGGATACCTTTTGTTGACTTCCTGGCTTAACTGGGGCAGCTGTTTCTTGACTTTGGGTCCCATAGGCCCTTCTGTCTAGGAAGGCCCTCAAGGCCACTTTCACCTTCGCTTCATAGACCCCAGCTCTTCATTCTTCAAATATTTCTCCATAATCTTGACTGTACTCTCTCCTCTCCAGTTTGCCTGACCCCAACAAGACCCATGTGATCTGGGGCACCAGTAAGGTGAGTCCCAGCTGCCTGTCCTTGGGTAGGGAAGGAAGTCGATCCAGGAGCAGAAGGCAGACCAACTGAGTATTTCCTTCCCTACTTCTCTTCCTCTAGGATTTCGGCATCTCTGGCTTCCGCTTTGGCACTCTGTACACCCGCAACAGGGAGGTGGCCTCTGCCGTGAACTCCTTTGGCTACCTCCACAGCATCTCTGGTGTCACCCAGTACAAGCTGTGTCAGCTGCTCCAGGACAGAGGTACTGAGCCCTGTTCAGGGCCAGACCTCGTGGCCACGGGGAATTCCTGGGTCTGCTTGGGCCTCTGACATGCCTTCAATACAGTGAGACCCTGTTCACTGTCTTGGGTTTAACAGTGGCAGGACAGGAAGTTTACAGGAGGGCAGGCTGTAGCTCATATGATGCAGCCGGGTGTAGACAGACGTTGGAGGTGCTGGTCTAAAACACTGGCCATCCGGTAGCTCGTGCTCTGCTTGGAAAGGGGATCATCAATTGTACTCTAGGACTTAAAGGTGGGAACTTCAGAAATGAGTCTTTGTGTGAAGGTCAATTTTCCCTCCCCCAAAGCTGGCTTGCTTCAGGCAAAGATTACAAAGGAACACCCTGATTCCTCGAATATGATTTAACTTTATCTTCCAATGTGGCCAAAGGAGAGCTGCCATTTGGGCAAGTTGTTGTGGCTACATCTATGGCACCTGAATTCACCTTCCCCTTGGATCTTAAGTGAATGCTGGCTTCAGAGGGAATTTCCCCCCTTTTATGCCATGGTATAAGGGCTCCTTTTTAAAATTCCCTGTAATAGAGCAGATGCCAGGCCTGAGGATTTAAATTAAAAGCAGAGATATAATGAAACAAACTAATATAATCAGATGATCCGGTTTAGAAAACAATGTGCTTTCAGCTTTGGGTGGAGAAAGCGGTAGGTAGGAGAAATCCAGCTGGATGCCGCCCTGCATGGTGCCAGGCCCTCTAATAGTTTGGTAGAAACCAGATTCCCAGCTCCTTGAACGCTGGTTCTCAGTCTTGGACGCACATGGGAATTACCTGGGAAGTGTAAATACTGATGTGTAGGCTGTATCCGTGAAGATTTTGATTTCGATGTCTGGGGATATAACCTGGGCCACCAGGCCTTTTAAAAGCTTCCCAAGTGGTTCTAAAGTGCTGCCAATGCTAAGGATAGTTGGGCTAAGATCATCCCCAAGCACAACGACGAGGTTCTTCAACGTCCATTTGTTAGGGTCTAAGGCAGGAAGTAAGGGAGCTATGAGTACCTGCTACTTGCCCAGTTGACAACAGAAGCATCAACCCCGTTTAGGGGACACCTCAACTTCTTGCCTCAAGGGTGTAAACTCAAACAGAACTTTCCTACACAATTATTGAGAAGCCCAATGTCTCCACCTACCTAGTGGAAATGGGTGCGTTGGGTATAAGTCAGCTCAAATATAATACAGTCAGGCTTGGATAGAATCAGCAGGCATGGAGCCCAGGTAGGGAACATTTTGTCAGGAAGCCTCTGGCAGATCTTAGCCCTGAGATGTGTGACAGCCCTTTTGCTCCACCCATCCGGAATGGGTTGACAATGTGTACCTGCCCATTTATCGCTTCCGGCTGCAGGAGGCTCACGGGTACATTACTGACAAACTGAAGGTATTGAAAGTCCCTTTTCTCAATCGTGGCTCTGGCCTCTATGTCTGGATCAACTTAAAACAGGTGAGTTCTGGGAATGAAGACAGGTGTTAAAGGGCAGATCTGCCTGATGGCTTTTGAGCTCAGCTTTGTCCCTCTGTCCTCCCCAGTACCTGGACCCATGCACATTTGAGGAAGAGCTGCTCCTGCATTGCCGCTTCCTGGACAACAAGATGATTTTGTCCCGTGGCAAGACCTTCATGTGTAAGGAGCCTGGCTGGTTCTGCCTCATCTTTGCAGCTAGGCCCCTCCTGCTAAGAAGCGGTGAGTGGGGCTGACCTCCCAATTCTGGCATCCTTCAAAGATGCCCCGGCCACTCCTGTATGAGACGCAATAGCGGAGTCGTCCTTTTTTTGCCTTTAGTAGCCTATAGCTCCAGCCCTTCTAGGCCCTCTGTTTCCACTTTCATACCTTTAAGCTCCTTTGTAAACAGGAACTGACAGGCACTTGAGGTATATTATAACTTTTGGGTGTCTGGTCTGTGTCTGCCATTGAGCAGGTCATTGGGACTGTAAGCTCTCAAGAAATGGAGCTCTGCCCATGTGGGACTTGCTGGCTACTAGGTGAGATAGACAGGGAGATGACCTAGAAGTCCCTGTGTGCTATACTGTGGAGTTTAGATTCTCCTCTGAAGGTTATGGAAACATGACATTCATTTTATCTATTGTATCTCAACACATGCAGGTCACTGTTCTACCTGCTGGGAACATAGCAATGAATAAGAGAACATTTATGTTACACAAATATCTTTTGAGCTAATGTGGAAAATAGACTGAGTGAAGGGCCACTAGAGGCAGAGAGAAAATGATGAGGCCAAGGCCATCAGCTAGGTGACAAGATTTGATCTGAGTCATGAAGGTAACTGGCAGGCAGGGGCTGTGATGATGAAGCCAAAAAGAGCCATGGGGGATGCGGCAGGTCGACTTGGAAATCTATCCCAAAGAGGGGAAGACTCAAGTTCAGCATCCCTGAACGAGAGGCTCTGTGGTGGCCTACTAGGACCTGGCTATATCTGGGGACTACATGAAACCCACTAAGTATTTTTCTCTGTCCCCATTTGGACCCTCTAGCCATTCAGCGGTTCCATCAGGTGCTAGTGGAGCAGGGGCAAGATTGGGGAGTGAAGCAACTGGAGGATGCAAAGAAGGAGGAAGTGTCTACCTCCCAGCCAGCAGCTCCAGCCAGTCTCACCCTCAGGAAGTCCTGACGTCAGCCTCGGATCTGGAAGGCTGGTATACTGACCTGGAGCTATGACCTGGGCCTCTCCAGGCATGAGCTCGTTTGACCCCACCATCAGTCCCCCTAAGCTGAGCATCTGTCATTTCTGGAAGCTTTACATCTTTTTAGTCTTCTAGCCATTGTGTGTGTGCAAAATGCTTTTATGGCGATTCCGGTGGGAAAGCCTAGAGAGGAATAAAGGGAGCTCTCTGGATCCCTATTTAGATGGGTTTACTTTTATATTTGATATCAAATAACTTCCATATTCTTGTAAATTCCAGGCCTGTTTTGTTTCTTACTCACATGCTTCATATCACCTTTTGAGAGCTAGATGATTTTTAAATTTTTGATTACACCTAATTAAAATTTAATTAAAAATTAAATTTAGGACTTCTTTTGTGGGGCAGTGGTTAAGAATCCGCCTGCCAATGCAGGGGACACAGGTTCAAGCCCTGGTCTGGGAATATCCCACATGCCGCGGAGCAACTAAGCCCGTGCATCACAACTACTGAGCCTGCGCTCTAGAGCCCAGGAGCCACAACTACTGAGCCCATGTGCCACAACTACTGAAGCCCACGTGCCTACAGCCCATGCTCTGCAACAAGAGAAGCCACCACACTGAGAAGCCCGCACACTGCAATGAAGACCCAACATAGCCAAAAATAAATAATTTATTTTTAAAAATTAAATTTAGTTTTTAAATTCTAAAGCAGGTTATATGTGAAGAACACTTCTGGGGCAGATCAGAAAGGAAGGGAAACCGTGATGCCTAATTGGCGGAGCATTTTCTAGGTGTTGGGTGCAACGTCCCACAGGATCCTTTCACAATCACGCCCACCTTATACACGAATGGCTAAGTGGCAGGATGGGGGCATAACTCCAAGTATGAGTTCTTTCCATTCTTGCCTTTTCGAAAGGCTTTTAAAGTGAATCTCTGGTGATAAGCCTGAGGTCTTCCATTTTCATCTCTAGTGTTTCCAGCTGTTCAAATCATACCTCCTGTGCATTTCTCTGCAAAGCCTTTGTACATCTGAGCTTTAGTCTGAGCACCAATGCTGTGAAATAGGCAGAGTGGGGACTACCACCATTTTATAGATGATGGAAGAGCTGTTAGCACCCACCAAAGGCTTTGGTCAGTCACTTGGGTTTGCAAGACAGGCAGAAACATGAGAGACCTGGGAAGAACCACCTCCTGACAGTATCTTGAGACCTTGCTAAATTCACTTATTAGTCCTAGTTGTTTTGGAGGGGGATTTCATTGAATGTTCAATGTACACAATCATGTTGCCTGCGAATAAAGATGATTTTCCTTCTTTCTTTTCAATATTTATGTCTCTCATTTTTCTGTTCTAATTGCATGGCCTAGAACCTCAAGTATAAAATTGAATAAAAGAAGTAAGAGAGGATATTCTTGCCTTGTTCTCAATCTTAGCAGGACTGAGTTCTGTCTCTCTTTCTTAAGTACTGCACGTATTTTTCATACTGCCTTTACTAGATAGAAGAATTTCCTACAATTCCTAGTTTGCTGAGAGATTTACCATGAATGAGTGTTCAATTTTTGTCAGATTTTTTTTTTTTTTTTTGCAGTACGCGGGCCTCTCACTGTTGTGGCCTCTCCCGTTGCGGAGCACAGGCTCCGGACGCGCAAGCTCAGCGGCCATGGCTCACGGGCCCAGCTACTCCGCAGCATGTGGGATCCTCCCGGACCAGGGCACGAACCCGCGTCCCCTGCATCGGTAGGTGGACTCCCAACCACTGCGCCACCAGGGAAGCCGAAACATCATATTCTTAATCTTACCATTTTATCCAGTCTGATGATCTTTTAACTGGTCTTTGGTCATTAATTTAATGTAATCATTGATATGGCTGTACTTAAGTCAATTATCTTGCTATTTGTCTTCTATTTGTGCTGTATGCTCTTTGTTCATTTTTTCCTTTCTGCATGCCTTTTGAATTAATCAGGCATTATTTGGTATCCCATTTATTCTTAATTATACCTTTTGACTTTTTTAAAAAAAGTGTTTGCTCTAGAGATTACAATATATATCCATTGCCCTCAGTGAGAAGTTCACAGTCCTTAACAGGGTTTATTAAGATTCATGACCTGATCCCTGATCGTTATCTCCAACCTTTCTCCTGAACCCTGCAAGCTCCGGGGGTCGGTATTAGGCTTGTTGCAGTTCATTAATGTTCCACACGGACTGTAACCTTCAAGGCTCTATCAAAGGCTTTCTTCTGCTTCCAACACCCCACACTCCAGCTAGCTAACTAGGACTCAAGCATCACTTCCTAAGTGTTTAGGGTGAATGAATGTGTGTGTAAGGCTTCCTGTATGGGGCCAATGCATGTGTGTGTGTGTCAGGGAAGGGGGCAGTGGTGTTAAATCTCCCTGCCGCATGCTTCCCAGGCACCCAGTAATCTTTCTTATTAGTTAGCACATTTGTATGTCTGCCTTCCCAGTCAACCATGCAGGCCCGCTGTTTGTTTTGCCATCACTGTATCCCAGCACTTTGCAGAGATCTTGCATGACAGAGGCATTCAATAAGACTACTTACCTGAATTAAACAGAATGATATGACTTAAATGGAGAGAACTGGCTTATTTTACATAGAGGAACAAAAAGTCTTGAGAGCTGCTCAAGGTCACAATGTTAGTGGCAAGGCCAAAGCGAAGACAAGAAGTGGAGTGATCCGGAGACAGCCAAGTCTTCCCAGCCAGATCTGTACTGATGGATCCTGCTCATTGCTTTTCATGGAGAAAAGGAAACTTTTCCTACTCAAAGGCTCGGCGCGGGCCTGGGACCTTGCCAAAGTGCAGGGCCCCAGGCAGAGTTCACCAGATGTTCTGTAGAACGGAAAGAGGAGAAATTACAAACTCAGGTCAAAAGCTTTCAAAGGGGAAGGATGTTTTCAGGATGCCCTTAATCGGAATTAATGTAAGTCCGGAAAGCCTTTTCCATGGGCCGCAACCAGGCATACATTTGTCCAGTAACCTCGGTGACTCTGCCTGTAAATGGGGACACTAAGGCCGGGGGGCAGAGGGAGGGGCCCCCGTGTGCCAGGGGCGGGGAGACCGGGGCGGGAAGGCCGCCAGGGCGCTGAGGCCGCAGAGAGCGGAGGTGGCAGCGGGCGGCCCGTCCCTTCCAGGCGGAGCTCTGGCCCTGGGCCCCCTCCCCTTCCGCGGCTTCCCCTCCCCGCCCCACGGTGCTGCAGCGTGTGCGCTCCCTGCGCGCAGGCCACACCCGGGCGTCCTGCGGCCTAGGGCGCAAGTTGACGAACCGTGCCCGGAACCTTCTGGGAAGCCCGACCCGGCGTGGACGGTCCCGAGTGCGAGTGCCTGGGCCCGGGTGCCCTGCGCACAGCGGCGGAGAGCGAGTCCGGGCGAGGATTCGGACACAGACTGCGCGTGCCTGAGTGCCGGCGGCGGCTCCTCCAGCTCCGCAAGTAGGTGCAATCCACGCTTTGCAGAACAGGGGGCCCGCGGGGTCTCCCTTGCCCGGGCTCGAGGCCTCGCTGCAGAAGTCCTGGCCCTTCCGTCTCGAAGCCCTCGGCCAGACTTAGACTTCCTCCTCCCGGAGACCGGGAGCCGGCGCCCGCGAGGCGCCCGCCGCTCTGCAGGGGTCTTGCGCTCTGCCTTCCGCCCTGTCCGCCCTCTCGTGGATTTCCGAGGCCCGGCCGCGCGGGTTTCGGGCTCTGGACTCGCCGCCGCCCCGCTGGACACCCCGAGCCCGCCCTTCGCTCCCGCACGGCGCGCGCGGAGCCGGGGCCCGGCCGGCCCCCACCTCCACCCCGCCTCAGCCCCTCTGACCTGCCGAGGGCCCAGGCATAGGATGAGGGGGGGCGAGGTGAGGCTGGGGAGAGCCCAGTCAGTTGGGGGAGACCCCAGAAAAGACTTAGTGGAGCAAAATTTAACCGAGGAGCCCCTGGGTTTCTGGGCCGCTGGTTGGTCCCCCATCATTTGGTGTTTGGGGCTTGTGCATCAGGGCTGGGGAAAGCGGCGAGGAGTTATAATAACATATTTTACTGAAGTTTGTCCATGAGCCAGGATTTGTTCTAAGCCATTTACACTAACATATATTTATGTCCTCACTGCTACCCTATGAGGTAGTTTCGGCTACACCCACTGTGCCCGCGAGGACGCCGGCTTAGACAGTGGAGGAGTTCACATCTGAACGCAGCATGCGACCAGACCCTCCCAGCGGCCACGCCTCCCCCACTTCGGGAGGGAGCGGGGGTGGGGCCTTGGGCTCTGCTCAGGGTCGTGCGCTTGCACTTGTGGGAACCCCACTTGCTTCTTCTCAGGCCCCACCCATCATCGCCTCGAAACAAACAGATAATCTCATTTTATCCTTTACTTCTATTCGCAACAGTCACCACAAGACCCCTGGACTCCAGGCTCTTTCTACTTTAAGTCAGAGAATTTTAACTTGGCTTTTTGAAATTGACGTCGGCAAGAATGGAAAAAGAAGCTGGTGACTCTTTAGGCTGCAGAATGCAAAACTTCCACAAAAGTAAAACAAGCTGAAGCAGCCATTTATTAAAGTTGTAGAAAAGTAGCAAGTACAGCCCCTGTCTGTAGATCCTTAGCAGAGTTGATGCCTTGAAGCGATTGCGCACATGGTTACAACTAGTAAGGGACACAGGAAGTGATGAGTATATAAACTTGAAGGAAGGGGCAGATAGAGAAGGGGGAGGGCCCCGTGACTCCCAGTTCATTTTTGTTGCTTGGTGCTAGGAAAGCCCTTGATCAGATCAGGCACTGAGTGCTTTTGTCTTTCTGCAGATGTTCATGCTCCCTCAGAAGGACTCCGGGACACCTACCACCTCTCCGGGTTCACTCTCCACACAGGGCCTGCACAGTAACCATGGGGATGGTCTGGAAAGAGAAGGCTCTGGAAAACCAGACCAGAAGCCGCTGAAGCTCTATGGAGTGGGTGATCCCACTGCCATGTTCTCCTCCGACAGCCCCTACCTGTCCTCTAGAGGCAGCATCATTAAATGGTTCTGGGATTCAGCAGAGGAGGGCTACAGGACCTACCACATGGATGAGTATGAGGATGAGAACCCCAGTGTGAGTGAAGGCCCCCTTCCCACTGGGACACAAGAGAGCACGGGGGGTGGGGGGCGGGTACCCCACCTTGACCAACAGGGCAGCACACAGCTTGCTATTGTCATGTTGGAGTTATGCCCCTTTGACTCCCAAGGGGGTGTCTTATGTTGCTCAGAGAGGCCCCTGTATATTACCTGAATCAGAAAATGGCCCATTTATAATTAAGGGAACCTTGATTTGTGAGGGAGGAATTCAAGAACCATGGAGTGTGCTCTTATATGGATTCTGATCCACAGCCCATCGACTATCCAATTTTAGATCTGGGACAGAACTAGGGTTCAGGTTGCAACTGTTTCACTTTTGGGTTGTGTATTCTTGAGCTAATTACTTAATGTCTTTGAACCTCAGTTCATCTCTATAATGGGATAGTAATACCTCCTCTATAGAACTGTCACAATTAAATGAGATCAGGTATGTAGGTTACTAGCACGGTGCTTCCACATAGAGCATTCAATAAATGGTAGTTGCTATTATTATTAATGTTACCTGCCCCAATTATTATAACTTATTACCAGTAATACCTTCAGAGGGTAGAGAGCTGTCACGAATAACCCTTTAATAATCTTTATTTGTTGAGCATGTACCAGGTGCTGGCACTGTTCTATATACCAGGGTTACAGCCGTGAACAAAAATAAAGTTCCTGCCCTCATGGAGTTTATAGTCTAGTATGGGAGACAGACATATATATATATATAATATGTTGGGATAAGCCTTGTAGGGAAAAATAAAGCAGGGTAATAGGATAGAGATTGGTGGGGTGGGCTGGGGATATTACTATTTTATGGGAGGTGGTCATAGAAGGTCACTTTAATATGGTGACATTGAAGCAGAGACCTGAAAAAAGTGAGGGATTGTATTAGTTATCTCTTGCTGTGTAACAAAGGACTTCAGGTCTTAGCAGCTTAAAACAAACAGCTCACAGTTTCTGGAATTCAGGAATCCGGGTGGTGCTTCAGGCTAAAGATCTCCTGGGAAGTTGCAGTGAAGCTGGGGCTGTAGTCTCATTTGAAAGCTTGGTGGGGTGGGGAGATGATCCACTTCCAAGCTCACTCACATGGTTGTTGGCAGGCCTTGGTTCCTCACCACGTGGTCTTCTCCATGGGGCTGACAGGGCCTCTTCTTGTGGTACATTGACCCTTGTTCCCGTTCCTGCCAGAGCACCAGTTTACTGTGTACATTCTTTCATCCTGTAAACTGAGGCTCTTGAGAGATACAGCGGTGTCTTGGGCATGTATCCAGCCTTCAGGGACTTCCCATCTAGTGGGGGAGATAAAGCCTGTACATCAGACCCTGTGACCTGGGACAGAAACTGACTAGTGCCGTAAAGGGGGACAGATAAATTTAGTGCTTTGGGATCCAGAAGAAGAAAAGATCCCTTGCAGGTGGGATTTTGAGGAAGGCTTCCTGGAGGAGATGGCATTTGCACAGAGCTTTAGAAATGGTAAGATAGGATCAGGGAGCCATGTGGAGGGCATGGCTTGAGCAAAGGCCAGGAGGGGTGGTGGGAAGGGCGGGATTGCAGAGAGCTTCGCTTTGCTGCCTTGGTGCGCCCCCCCCCCCGGGGCCTTCTGATGGCACACTCTGCTGTGCTCACATGGCTCTGTACCTCTCACCTCCAGGGCATCATTAACTTGGGCACCAGTGAGAACAAACTCTGCTTTGACCTGCTGTCCAGGCGGGTAAGTCCTGGTGCACCTCTGGGTGGCATCCCCAGCTGCAAGGGGCTGTCTTCTCTGGGATTCCTTGGAACACTTCCCCCAGAGAGCCTGCTGCTTGCTTCAGCGGCCCCGGGGACCACTTTCTCTGCCATCTTGGGAGAGTCACTTCCCCACTGTGATCCTCTTTCTTCACTTCTTCTGGCTCTTTCCCTCCTCAGTTCCTCCTGCTGGCTGGGTCCCTGCTCTCAGGGGGAGATACTCGGTGCTGGGTGGTCAGTATTTAACAACTGGCCCTGGGAGAAAGGGGCCCCTGATCGGTAGCTTTTCTGATTCCCATAGTGTAAATGCCCCCACTGTGGCCGATATCAGGCTATTGCCGTGACATCAGTGCGTGCAGAGCTGGGAAGAGAGGTGCAGGGGCCCCATCACGTGGTAGTCCCACCATGCAGACACATGGACGGAAAGAACCTCCAGAGCACAGACGAGAGCAAAGTGGAGTAACATAGACAGGAGCAATATTGTTTGAGCACTTTTTACCTTTATTTTTACTGTAACTGACTTACATAATTTATGTGTATAGTTTATATAATGTAATTTTTGAAAATGGTACAGTTTGCAAAATTCCTGAAATCAGATTTCTTTCTTTTATTTATTTTTTTAAATTGAAGTATAATTGCTGTACAGTATTATACAAGTTACAGGTATACAGTAGAGTGATTCACAATTTTTAAAGGTTATACTCCATTTATAGTTATTATCAAATATTGGCTATATTCCCCGTATTGTACAGTATATCCTTGTAGCTAATTTTATACCCAGTAGTTTGGACCTCTTAATCCCCTACCCTTATATTGCCCCTCCCCCTTCCCTCTGCCTGCCAACTCACAGATAGAGAAAATAATCAGATTTCTTGAGCTGGTGTGAGCCATCTCTAGTAAACTGCTGGGGCTATCTGATGAATGTGTCTCTCGAGGCCTAAGAGTTAGAGTTTGGAACTGTGGAGAGAGTGATACTTAACCCAAAGGAACATATTTCCAAAGGGAAACATCTAAGCTGCAAGGGGAGAGGGGTGTAGGGAGTGGGCTTGAAAAGCCTGTTCTACCCAAAGCCAGCTCCCCACTCTAAGGCAGCTCAGCGCCATCCAGTAGAAATAAACTGTGAGCCACGTATATAATTAAAATTTTTCTATTAAATAAGTACAAAGAAACTGGTAAAATTCATTTTCATCATGTATTTTATTTAGCCCATTGTATCTAAAATATGGCTATTTCAACATGTAATCAATATAAAAAATTATTAATGAGGTGGTTTACATACTTCTTTCATATAAGTCTTCAGAATCCAGTGTCTCAGTTCAGGAGAGTCACACATAAGAGCCACATGTGGCCAGAGGCCTCTGTATCGGACAGTGCAGTGCTCAAGGACGAAGGAGAAATGGAAGAGGCTGGGGTTATAGACACGTGGCTCATTCCCTTTCTTCCTTTTGGTCCTGCCGCCCAAGGCTTCTGCCTTTCCTCGATTTTGTGGGTGTGATGCCCTGGGAGTCACTAACCCAGCACCCAGGCAGGGTGGGGATGGTCTGGAAATGGCCACATTTTCCAAAGTGTGAGGTTGAGCTGAGCCTGCAGGAAGACAGTGGCCTGAGTCCCTCCATGACTTAGAGCCAAGGCCGAGGTAGGGCACCTAGTTCTGGGACCTCTTCTGTCACCCCGTTGGAGGAGCTGAGGTGCGCGGTCTCCTATCGCTGCCTCTGCAAATCCACCCCTCTGGTTTTTTTGGTTGGCGGTGTTGTATAAAGAGCACTGGACTAGGAGTCAAAAATTCTGGTTTGTCTTAGCTTCGCCACTTGCCGGTGCTGTGATGTTGGCTGAGCCACCTGACTTTTTTTTTTTTTGGTCGTGCCGTGCGGCTCGCGGGATCATAGTTCCCTGACCAGGGATTGAACCTGGGCCGCCTGCAGTGGAAGTGCACAGTCTTAAACACTGGACCGCCAGGGAAGTCCCACACCCGACATTTTTAAGCCTCAGTTTCCTCATCTGCAAAATGGGCATGAGAATGCTGCCCCTGGGCTGCCCCTGTCTCAGTTTCTCTGATAAGCAGACCAAGCCCTTGGCTTTAGAAGCCCTGGTGCTGCGTGGATGCAGGTGGCAGGGCTGGCCCTCACCATGAGTCTGTGCGTTCCTCAGCCCTGCTCTCCCCTGTCTGTCCCCAGCTGAGTCAGAGCGACATGCTGCGGGTGGAGCCGTCCCTGCTGCAGTACCCTGACTGGAGGGGACATCTGTTGTAAGTAGCACCTGTAGGCCAGTGGTTCTCAACCCCAGGGCGGTTTCCTTCCCCAGGAGACATGTGGCAATGTCTGGAGACATTTTTGGTTGTCGTAACTGGGAGGGGGTTGCTCCTGGCTTTTCTTGGGTAGAGGCAAGGGAAGCTGCTAAACCTCCTACAGTGCCCAGGACAGGCCCCTCCACAGGAAAGAATGATCTGGCTCGAAACATCAATAGTGGCGGGTTGAGAAAGCCTGCCCTAGGCTGAGGGCCTAGTCCTGGAGAGCTGGCAGTCATGGGGTCTCCTGGAGCATCTGCAGGGAACTAGTGCCTCCTGCCCATCCCACCCCCGCTCAGTGGCTCCCTGGCTTGGTTTCTCTTGAGTCTGAGGAGTGGAGAGGGCCTTCAGGCCAGGAGCCTTGTCTCCAATTTCTCAGTAGCTTTAGAGGAGCCAGAATCAGCTTAGGAGGAGATGGTTGGGGCCTTCTGCTGGTAAGATGGGAAATAGTAAGTAAAACTAATAAGATTTTATATTTATTGAGCACTTGCTAGGGCCCAGATGCTGTCCTAAGGATTTAGTGCTGGAGCTGGACTTGATTCCAAGAGTAATTCCAAGCATGTGCTCTTATAATAATTAGGATGGTGGCCCTAGAGTCTGACCACTGGGCTTGAGTGTGGACTCTGCCACTAACCAGCACGTAACCTAACTCCTTCAAGCCTCAGTTTTTTTGTCTGTAAAATGGGGATAATAATAATAGTAGTTGTGTCATAGGGGTTTTATGAAGAGTAAATGAGGAATATTCTCTAAATAACACCTGCATAAGGTAAATGCTTGTAAATATTAGCAATAACTATGATAATAGTTATTGTTATAATAATAATTATATTATCCTACATTATATTATATATTTTATTATATTAGTGTGCTATTATTACTATTACTATTAGCTAGATCTGTATGGAGAGTGTCACTTTTTGATATTCCTGCAGTCTGCTGCTTAGGTGGGGTCAGGTGTCCTAGAACTACTGGAATGGAAGTTTCGACGCATGCGGGTAGTGTTGGGACCGAGGAGGGAGGTGGGCACCAAGGAGTGGAAACAAATACTGATCGTATTCCCATCGTGGGAAGCAGAGAAGGGTAATGGCAGCTGCCTGAAGATTCACCAGGGGAGCTTTGGGATGGACTTGGGGTCGGAGCCCCTCTGACAAGCACTGCCCATCTGTCTGTCTGATCTCCAGCCTCCGGGAGGAAGTGGCCAGGTTCCTGTCTTTCTACTGCAGGAGCCCCGCACCCCTTAAACCAGAGAACGTGAGTAGCCCCCTCCCCTGCTCCTTCCTGATCTTCTGCCCCCTCCCCAACTTTTGGCTGGCCAGGGGTAAGTAGGGTCACTTAGTTTTGATTTGGAATTAGGAAGACCCCCTCCCTTCTTTCCCCTCATCCTAGATATTTAGAGTTTGGGTATAATTTCTGCCCCGCTTTGTTCTGTGGCCCCTCTTTGCCTCCACACCTTCGGGCAGGACTCTGAGTGACCAGCTCCCTCGTCCTTGCTCAGTTGATCTAGAACAGGGTCCCCACGAATAAGCCACACAAATGGACTTGGCTGTTAGTCAGGAGGGGCCTGCGGGTATGACCTGGCCCTCCCTCTGTGACCTGGCCCTCCCTCTGTGCCCTCCTGGGTTAGAGGCTGCAGGCCCTTGCACCCTCCTGGGACAGATTCATCTTTGTCCCATGGATGTGTCACCCTCAGGTCGTGGTTCTGAATGGCTGTGCCTCTCTCTTCTCCGCTCTGGCCACAGTACTGTGTGAGGTGGGGGGTAAGTAGACTGCAGCCCATTCAGTACCAGGGGCTGCCCTGTGCCTGCAGTGTCCCTAGCTGCCTGTCCTCGAGGCCTGCATCAGGGTGCTTTTGCCATAATAGACTGTTAGACCACAGGGGGCTTAACTAAGGGGCCTGACAAGACGCCAGGGGTTGGCAGTTCCAGGGGAAGTCAAGGTGATGCCAGGGTTCTGGGCCATTTCTCTGTGCCGACCTCACGTGACAGCATGTCCTAAAGCAGGAAGAGAGGGAGGCTGTGCTGTGCCTGTCTCTTTTTTACTGGGAGGGAGGAAATGGGGCTACTCTTTCCTGGAAGAGTCCCCGCAGGGCTCCCCTTGCATCTTTCTGGCCAGGACGGACTCACAAACCCATTCCCAAAGCAGTCCCTGGCGAAGGGGAAGAGAACCCTGGTTGGCTTAAACCAAACTTGCTTCATCCCCCAGGGCTGGGGGAAGGTGCACCTTCCTTGGACTTATTGCTGGTCATAGCTGAAAAGTCTGGTGCTCTCTTAGCAAGGAAGAAAATTGGAATGGCTGTTGAGTATCTAGCCAGCAGTGCTTGCTGCAAGAGCCATGGTCAAATCAAGGACATATTGACCATAGTCATGGTCAGGGGCTGTTGGTTGCCAGGAACAGAGACCCACTCATATTAGCTTAATTAATAATCATAATTTAGTAACATTTGTTGACCCCATACTACGTTTCAGGCGCTGGCCTAAGGCTAGGCATAGTCTGTCATTTAATCCTCACTCTAACCCCGATGAGGTAGGTTCTGTGCTTATTCCCATTTAACAGATGAGGAGATTAAGGCCCAGGGGTTAAGTTACTTGTTAAAATAACACAGAGAGACGTAATAACCAAGTTTTGAACCTTGAAAGGAAGATTCATCACAAGGATGTAATAGGCAATTTCCTACCCGTTCTAGAACCATCAAGAGTAGAATTAGCGTCACACTCTCTGTCTCTCAGTGGCGTGTGCAGTCCCCCTCCCCCGCTTCCTATGCAGGCCTCTCTCTGGACCTTGCTCAGCTCTGTTTGGCCCAGGTTGTTGGCTCAGCTCTGACTCCACAGGACCTTCGCATTCAAGTGCATGTTCTCGTCTCTCAAGGATCTGTGCTGCTTGGAGCAAAGTCCTGAGGCAGAGAGAACGTGATGGGTGTCTGGCCAGCCAGTGCATTGGCTCCTGGGGTCATTTGTCTACCTCTGGCCCAATCCCTGTGGCCGGGGGAGGGAACATGTAGGGCAAAGTCTGCCCCTTCCAGAGATGCGAGGCGGGGGTGGGGTTGTGCTGAAGGGAATGCTGGGAAGGGAGCAGCTTGACTGATGCACCCCCTTCAGAGCTGGAGGAGCACCTTTACCTCTGCCTTAGAGCGGACCTTGGGCGTCATCTCATCAACCCCTGTGTCCACAGCGGGAGTCTTCTGCATGACACCCCCTCCCCACCGAGCGGTGTCAGCCTTTGGCTTTAGTGCCCCCAGCGGGGGAGCATTCACTCCTCCAGAAGCAGCACATTCTGTCTCTGGGCAGTTCTGTGTCTTGTCAGGTTTTCCCATTTGTCACACCCAGATCATCACCCTGCAGCTTCGACTCCTGTTCCAAGTCTGTGCTTGCAGTAACCCAGCATGTCGCGTGCTTCCGAGGGATCTAAGCTTCAGTTTCCTCATCGGTAAAGTGAGGATAATAATAGAGTCACTCTACAGAGTGATTGTGAGGGTCAAACGAGATTAAAAAAATAAATATTTAGCACAGATCCCCATACATATTAAGTGCCCGATAAATGGCAGCTACTAATTATTAGAAAAGGGACTCAGTGGATCCCAGCTTTAGAAAGGGTTTTGGGAAGTGAGAGAGGGAGCGTGTTCCCCAGATGTTCCCCAAGCAAACTGAAGGCTTGGAGAGGCGTGGGGTCAGTGGACGGGGGTCTGGGTGTTCCGGCCAGAGGGTGACGGGCCCTGGCCCACTCCTGCCCCCAGAGGCTTTCCTGATCCCTGCCCCTTACTATGGAGCCATCACGCAGCATGTGTATCTCTATGGCAACGTCCGACTGGTCTGTGTCTATCTGGACAGTGAGGTAAGAGTTCCTGGGACCCCAGGTTGGACCTGGGCCTTCCTGTAGGCCGAGATGTTCCTCTGTCTGAATTTGAGGGTAGAAATGAGAGGAAGTCCATGCCGAGGCCTCTGGGGTTATGGCTGAAAGGAGAGTGGAGCCTTCTGTTGGCCATGGCTGCCCTTGCCTAGGTGCCCTGGGGACACCCGATCTTCCGCCTCTGAGATCCCTGGGGTCGATGCAAAAGCCAAGGGCAGCCCAGGGAGACCACACCGGAATGGTGGGGTGAGAACGGGGCAGAGCAGACCTCAACATGGAAGCCCACGGACCCCTATCAGTGGACCTCAGGGGGCTCTTCCCCAATCCTAGGAGCCGTGAGGGTGTCCCTGATGTGATGGGGTGGGTGGCAGTGAGAGAGGAGTGACCCCCCTGTGTTTTTCTGAGATTGTTCTAAGAGGAGGCTGGAGATGACAGGGGTAGGAGAGGCCCCAGCGTCCAGGTCTGGGGGGGGGGGTCCCTGAATTTGGCTGGAGGCCCCAGAGTCCAGGTCTGGGGGGGGGGGTCACTGAATTTGGCTGGTGGCCCCAGAGTCCAGGTCTGGGGGGAGGGTCCCTGAATTTGGCTGCTGGCTTTTGTGGATCTTCTTCCAGGTCACTGGGCTGGAGACACGCCCCTTCCAGCTCACAGTGGAGAAGCTCGAGATGGCGCTGGAAGGAGCTAATTCTGAGGTCTGGGGATCAAATTAAACCCAAGGCTGGAAGGCAGGGGGGCCTGAGCAGGGCATGGACCCCCTTCCTGTGGCTGATCTCCTGGGAGTAGTGGCGGCACTCTGTGATGGGGCGGGGGTAGGGTGGTAGCATGGAACCGTTCTGGGGGTCAAGCGGGAGCCTGCCCATGGAGGGCTTCCTGCTAGAGAAAGACTCTGAGACTCTCAGTGTACAGAGAATCAACTAGAGAGCTTGATCAAAAATACTACCCCCCCGGGCTTCCCTGGTGGCGCAGTGGTTGAGAGTCCGCCTGCCCATGCAGGGGACACGGGTTCGTGCCCCGGTCCGGGAAGATCCCACATGCCGCGGAGCGGCTGGGCCCGTGAGCCATGGCCGCTGAGCCTGCGCGTCCGGAGCTTGTTGCTCCGCAACGGGAGGGGCCGCAACAGTGAGAGGCCCGCGTATCGCAAAAAAAAAAAAACAACTACCCCTCACTTCTCCCGATTCTGACTCAGCGGGTCAAGCATGGAGCTTAGAAGTCTGGTTCAGCAGTCTCTCTGGTGATTTGGGGAGGTGGTCCCCCTCACTCTGAGGGGATCTGAGGCCTCCCGAAGAAAGGCGTAGGCCAGCAGCCCTCCAGTGGTTCCTGTCCAGTCCACTTTTCAGAAATCTATCAATCTGTTTTTTTTTTTAACCTCGGTCATAAAATCCATATATGCCACCGTGGGAATTTTAAAAGTACAAACCACCACCCATAATTCTACCAACAAAGGCAGCTTCTACTGGCGTTTGGGCATATTTCTCTCTGAGCTTTGTTCTCTGCATTTGTTCTCTTTTATAGCTGATACGATGCTGCAGATATTATTCTTTGCCCTTATTCGTTTCGTGTTGGGTGGTGAACACATTTCCCTGGGATCCGGCCCAGTGGGACCGTGTGGCCTTGGGGAGGAGCTGAGGGTCTCCTGTCCCACTGATGGTTTCAGGGTGTGAAGGTCAAAGGCCTCATCCTCATCAACCCCCAGAACCCTCTGGGTGATGTCTATTCCCCAGGAGAGCTGCAGGAGTACCTGAAGTTCGCCAAGAGGTGAGGCACCCCACGCTCACCCCGTAAAGCGTGTGACGGATCAGGGTTCCGATGTGAGCTTTGGTGCAGGTCCTGTTACCCCCTTTACCCCACTGTGGGTTTCTACCTGCTTTGGCCCTTCCTGGCAGTGGAGTCAGGGGGTAGGGCTTGGTGGGATGCTACTTCTCTCTTCCTTTTTATAACAGCAGCTGCGGTTATTGCCCGCTCTAGGGGCCAGGCCCCCCGCTAAGCACCCTACATGCTCCAGCTCCTGTAATCCTCCCAACGACCCTATTAGGTACAGATACTGTCATTATCCCATTGGCTGAGGCTTAGAGTGAGGGGCGGGGCCAGCCGTGAATCTGGGTCCGCCTGTACTTAACTGTGGCTGGAGGTGCCCGAGGGCTCCGCCTCCCCCGTCCCCCCACATTGGTTCAGAATCCCCACTGTCATCTGCCTTGTGTGTGTGCGGCTTCTCGTTTGTTTGAAAGAAATAGACAAAAGAAGGATTTTCCTGGAAAAAACAAGTTTGGTAACCCTGGGCTAGACCGTGGTCCTTCTGGATTTCTGATTCACTGCCATCCCACCCTGGGGGATGCATTTGGCCTACCAGCCAAGCTCTCTCCTCCTCACGACCTGCCCTCCAGGCATGAGCTGCACGTGATGGTGGATGAGGTCTACATGCTGTCCGTGTTTGAGGAGTCGGTTGGGTACCACAGTGTCCTGAGCCTGGAAAGGTGAGCTGACTCTGCCAGTCCCGCGCCCCTCCACCCACCCAGGACAGCTCCTCTTCCTCCCAGCTAATCCTACTGTCCTCAGGTTCCCTAATGAGAAGAAGGGAGGCTGGGCCAATCAGTGGTTTTCAGATTGTTCTGTGGTGGTTCTGAAAGCTCCAAGGAGTGGTCTTAGGATTCCTTGAGGGAAGGTTGGGAGGGTGGGAAATGGGCCTCCTCTGCTGTTTCCCTCATCTCCAGAGTGGCTCCATTTTCATTCATTCACTCATTCATTCAGCAGATACTTCTGGGGCCCCCTGCATGTGCCAAGCCCTTCCAGCTATTGGAGCTTTTTCATTAGATTTAGTTTGAGTCAAGAATGTGTGGCCAGAACACCTTTGGAAATAGTTGGATCAGATCATCTGTAAAATCTGCACATCTGTCATTTAGGGATTCTGACAGTTCCTGATACTCGTTCAGATCTTTCAGCCCTGCTGAGTCCTTTTGTTACCGGAAGGGGGACCCCTTCCAGGGCCCGAGAGTGGGCTCTTGTCTAACACTCTGAAATGAATTGTCTGAGGAGACACACGTACTGACAAAGCAAGAGACTTTATTGGGAAGGGGCACCTGGGTGGAGAGCAGGAGGGTAAGGGAACCCTGGGGAACTGCTCTGCCACGTGGCTTGTAGTCTCAGGTTTTAAGGTAATGGGGTTAGCTTTCCAGGTTGTCTCTGGTCCATCATCTTGCTTGTGCCCGTACTTGGTCCAATTTAAGGCCCTTCCTGGCGGTGTGCGCATCTCTCAGTCAAGATGGTTTCCCGTGCGAGGGTTTCTGGGAGGTTGGAAGAACATATTATGGGCCGGCATCTCCTCCCTCCTTTTGGCCCCTCCTAAAGTCTTCGGGCTGGCGGTAGCTTGTCAGCTCCATATTCCTTAGCAGGACCTCTTGTTGTGAGATAACTCGTGCAAGTGGTGATTATCCTGCCTGGCCAGGGTGGGTGGTTTCAGTCAGTGGTTCCCGAACACTTTCCTTTGCTCTGCTCAGCCAGTCCTCGCAAAGCTCTGCCAGGTGGATGGCACGTAGGTTGTTCCTCCCCTTTGCTTATGGATTAGGAGAGTGAGACTCAGGGAAATAGGGATTTGTCACTTCCTGTGGGCCACACTATGCTGTGCTGGAGATACATCAGTGAACAAGAAAGATATAGACCCTTCTTATGTGGAACTTGTCTTTCTAGCTGGAAAAAAAAAACACATCAAAAAACCCCCCCAAAACTTTTAGCAACTAGATACACAGCTAATCATTTGATTATTGAAAAGCAGACGTCTGGAGAGCCAACAGAGGATCTGCTTGGGGTACCCAGTTGGCCTGGTCTACTGGGAGGGGCTCAGAGAAGGTCCGCTTGAGGAAGTGATGCTTGAACTATGCTCTACATCAGGGGCTGGCAAATATTTTTGGATCAGATGGCAAATATGTTAAGCTTTACAGGTCATATGGTCACTCACTCAGCTCTGCCATTGTAGCATAAAATCAGCCATGGGGGCTTCCCTGGTGGCGCAGTGGTTGAGAGTCCGCCTGCCGATGCAGGGGACACGGGTTCGTGCCCCGGTCCGGGAAGATCCCACATGCCGCGGAGTGGCTGTGCCCGTGAGCCACAGCCGCTGAGCCTGCGCGTCCGGAGCCTGTTGCTCCGCAACGGGAGAGGCCACAACAGTGAGAGGCCCGCGTACTGCAAAAAAAAAAAAAAAAAAAAAAATCAGCCATGGGCAGTACGCAGGTGGGAGAGCGTGGCTGTGCCCCTTAGAGGTTCGTTTACAAGAACAGGCAGCAGGCTGTAGCTGGCTGACCCCTGCTCTAAAGGATGTGTAGGAATTGGTGATTCAAGAGATGAAACCAGACTCATCTGTCTCCTCATTTGTGCAACCAAACATGTGAACTCCGACGGGTCTGCGTTGCCTCTGTTCCCACCCTGTGCTCTCCGCAGGCTGCCTGACCCCCAGAGGACCCACGTGATGTGGGCGACCAGCAAGGTGGGTTCCTGGCTGGCCTTGGGGGTGTCAGGGGGAGGTGAGAGGGCAGAGAGGTGGGTGGAACCGGCTTCCTCTGGGAGGGATGGCTACCTCCCACAGTGCCTTTCTCCTTCAGGACTTCGGGATGTCTGGGCTCCGCTTTGGCACGCTGTACACAGAAAACCAGGACGTGGCCACTGCGGTATCCTCCCTCTGCCGCTATCACGGCCTCAGTGGCTTGGTCCAGTATCAGATGGCACAGCTGCTCCGGGACCGTGGTGACTGCCTGGGCCTGGCCACCTGAGGATGGGGGAGGGTTGTAGTTAGACTGGGACTGGCCAGGGGTCATGGGTGCTTCTCCCATGAGATGAATTTAGGGTGGTGTTTGAGAGTGCCAGCTCTGAGCCCAAACTACGTTCATATCCTACTCGGTCACGTCCCGGCTATGTGGTCTATTCCTTCACCTCCCTGAGCCTCATTTTCCTCTTCTGCAAAACAGGAATCATAATGGTACCTGTCTTGTAGGGTTGGTGTAATTTGTCATTCAATTAGGATAGCACCGGGCATACAATAGGCACTTAGTATGAACTCATTATTATTAGCTGTGAGCACTTGAAAAGGAGCAGAAGCTACTAAGGGAAGATTGTTACAATGGAAGTGTCTCTTTCTGTGCAGGTCTATTCTGTTCCTGGGTTCAGATACTGAGTTTAGATAGCAAAGGTTACCTGTAATTGCCACCATTCATTGAGCCCCGCAAGATGCTCTCAATCTCATTTGTCCCTCCCCAGAATCCTAGGAAGCAGGTGTTTCTGCATTTTCCCCATTATTTTATAGATGAGGAAAATCAGGACCGGGTACTACACACCTGCTATAATAGCTAAATTTTAAAAGATCGCGATAGTATCATGTGTTCCTGAGGATGTAGAGCAGCTGGAACTCTCACACTGCCAGTGGGAATGTTAAGATGGAACAGCCACTTTGGAAAACAACTGAGCAGTTGCTTATAAAATTCAACACACACTTACCAAATGGCCCAGAAATCCTACTCCTAGATATTTGCCCTTATGGTCACACAAAAACCTCTCCGTGAATGTTTATAGCTGCTTTATTCATAATCACCCCAAACTGGAAACAACCCAAATGTCCTTCCACAAATGAATGGAGAAACAGACTGTGGTTCACCCACACACTGGAATACTACACTGCAATAAAAGCCATGAGGACACAGACCCATCTCAGAGGCATTGTGCTGAGTGAAGGAAACCAGTCTCAAAAGATTACATTACTGTATGATTCTACTTATGTGAAATTCTGGAAAAGGCAAAACTACAGTGATGGAGAACAGACCAGCGATTGCAGGGAAGGGGGTGTTGTGACTTCAAACAGATAGCACAAGGGTGTTCTTCGGGGTGAGGGAACCATTCAGTATCCTGCCTGTCATGGGGGTTACACAAATCTATGCATGTGTTAAAATTCATCGAACTGGACACTGAAAACCAAGGTCAGTTAAAACAATGGGGATCAAGGAGGTGAAGTTGCCCAAGGCCTCACGCCTAGTCAGTGGCCACACTGTGATCTGAGCTTCCACCTGGGTGACTCAGAAGTGTCACTATGTAAGTGGGTACACCTCTGGTGAGGGTCTGAGTCCTGAGGGACTTTGTGTCTGGGCTCCTGAGAACGTCATGCAGGCCCTGAAGCCCTCAGGGCCAAGGATCTGGATTTAAGGTGCTTTTCACTGAATATTCCCATTGCCCCCAACCAGCTACAGGAGGGGCTCACCCAGCTTTGGCAGCTCATGGCCTTTTTCTTTTCAGCATTTAGACTCTCAGGCCAGAGCGGAGGGTTGACGGCGAGGTTTATCTTCTGGCTTCTCTTTCACCCAAACAGACTGGATCAACCAAGTGTACCTGCCGGAAAACCACGCCCGGCTCAAGGCTGCTCACACCTATGTCTCGGAAGAGCTCCGGGCCCTGGGGATCCCCTTCGTGAGCCGTGGGGCCGGCTTCTTCATCTGGGTCGACTTGAGGAAGGTAATGCAGGTGGAAATGCAGGTGGTGGGGGCAGTGTTAAAGCTCCCTCCAGCAGGCAAGGGCAGGGGCTCTCATTCTGCATCCTGAGTGCCTTTCACCCTCCCAGTACCTGCCCGCGGCCACCTTTGAGGAGGAGAAGCTGCTCTGGCGCCGCTTTTTGGATAACAAGGTGCTGCTGTCCTTTGGCCAAGCCTTCGAGTGCAAAGAGCCTGGCTGGTTCCGCTTGGTTTTCTCTGACAAGACCCACCGGCTTCGCCTGGGTAAGCGGTCCACCTCCTAACTGCGTCCTTCATTCTGCCCTCCCTCTTCTGGCCTCACCTGTGGCCCCAGCAGCCAGAGCTTGCTCGTCCCCACCCACCCAGCATCCGTGCTGACCCTCACTTCCCCTTCTCACATCCCAGGGATGCAGAGGGTCCGGCGGGTGCTTGAGGGCAAATCCCAGGTGGCAGAAGACGCCCCTTCCTGCTAGACCTAGGAGCCGAGGGGTCCGCACAGGTGAGCTGGTCGCTGTCTTGTGGCCACAGGGCCTGGCAGCCCCTGTGAAGACTGATGGTGGATGAGCCATTTGGCAGGCAGATACCCTTCTTGGCCTTGCCCTTGAAGAAGAACTGCTCCTTGCTCTCCCGGTGGCAGCGAGACACGCCTTAAGTCGTGGTCCATTCCCCTCCCTGGCTATTAAACAAAACCGGGAAAAAAACTAGAAGCCTCTGCTGTGAGTCATTTACGGAACAGGGGGAGTCGTGACTGCTCCTCCCCACAGCCCTCAGCCCCCCAGGACATGAAAACAAACTACCTGTACCCGCTTTTGTTGCTGCCTGCATTATTCTGTCTTTGTTGCCAGGGAAACAAGTCAAAGGAGCAACACACGTTAAGAGAGCGTTTGCCCCCAAAAGAAAGAAGAGTGATGATTTCTACAAGGAGAAAGGAATTAATTCTGTATGTTCAGATTACTCTCCCTGCACATAGGATGTGTGGGCCTACAGCACACCTGGGACCTGGGACATGGGACCAGCCCCCGCGTGGGCCGAGGTGAACGGGTCCCCGGCGGGAGTCAGGAGGGGCGACTCTATCTCCAGGATACTCTTCTTCCTGGGAAGGAACTGCCTTTACTGCTGGTCTTGAACCAGAGCGACCTAGCCGTGACTGTGCTGGGAGATGATGGGGCCCTGAACGGAGGCTGCTATGGGGACAAGCTCTGACCCAGGCTGGCCTTTCCACCTTAAGCATCAAAGGGCCGCTCACCCCTTCCCCAGGGGTGCTTTAGTTCAGAGCTCCAAGGAGCTTTCTGAACCAGCCTTAAAGCTGTGGGCTGAGGACCCTTCTCAGGTGCCGACACTGCTGTTTGGAAAAGCTATCTTCCTCTGTTCTTCTGTTTAGAGCATGTTGGTGAAATCAGCGTTTACTTTCTATAAACCATGCTCTATGGCTTAGGATTTGTCTTCCTCTTTCTGCCTTTCATTCATTCCTCCTTCCTCCCTGTCTTTTCTTGAATACCTTGTACGTGCCGGACACTGTGCTAGGTAATTTACATGCATCGTTTCTAACTCTAACCACCGTGGGAAGCTGGCAATATTAGCCCTCATTTTAGAGATGAGGAAACTGAGTCTCAAACAGATGAAATGATGTTTCTGAAGTTACATAGCTAAAAAGTGTCAGGGCCAGGATTCAAGTTCAGGTTGGTTTGGTTCACAATCTTTCCACTCCGCCAAACCACAGTCCCGAAGGATTCTTTGACTTTTCCAGTCCTGAGAACCAGGCTTCATGCTGTCATCGTTTCACCTTCCATTATTTTTCAACATCGTTGGCTAAGTAGCACTCGTTTCTACTCCCACTTCCAGGATACGTTGATGCCAGGATTTGCTGTACTGGGATGCCTGCCGCTTTTCAGGAGGTCAGAACAGAATGGCCACGTTGACGGCCCTACACGTCCTCTCCAGAGACCTCTGTTGTGACGCTGCCACTGTTGTTGAGGGTCCCCTGTGAAGGACCCACGTGATGAATTCCATTTAGAATTTTCAGAAGGATGACTCCTAGCTCTCCCTTAGAGGGAATCCAAGCAGGTTTCCTAGCAGAGGCTGACTAAACTAGGAATCTGGATCTGAACTGAGCTCATTGGTTTGAGTAGAGCTGGCTTGTGCTCTGCTGAATGGCTGTGTTCCATATGTCTCCCTTTCTGGAGCATGGACTGGACATATCCTACACCCACCTCACATCTTCTCTGCTCACCTTTCTGCTCTGCCAGTTACTACAGCCATCAGATTTTGTGTTCTCTCCTTCTCTTTTCTTCTCTTTCCTCTGTGTGGCTTCATTTTCAGACATGCTCCATTCAGATGGTGGCAAGATGGCTTCCAGGCAGCTCCAGGTTACATGGTCCTTGTAGTAGACACCTACAGGGTATTAGCAGGATAGACACCCTTTCTTCCTCAGCATTCATTTCTCTCCTGCCATAGGAGGCCAGCAGGCCTTACCTCAATCTTCTGCCCATCCAGGGGAACCCAGGTTCTATTCATCTGTCCACTCTGCCATCCTTAGTGGGTTGGCTTTTCCCCTTCAAGCTTATTTCCTCATTGTCTCAATATGGCTACAGAAGCTCCAAACATCACCTCCTCACCAACCACTTCCAGACACAGAAAAGAGAGTATGTTTTTCTGTTGCCTCCTTTTCATTTTATTTCATTCATTTAAAAAATATTTGTTTAAGCCTCAGATTTGTAGTAGTTCTTTGTATGTCTGGAAATGAGTATTTATTTTGCCAGATACTCTTCATTTATTAACATTCACTTTATCATTTTCTTTATTCTCCTCCTGAACATGGAAATGACCTTAGAACACTTAACTCTCACTCCTTTATTTTCATCTCCTGCCATATTGTTGACTAGTATTTTAGTTAATGCCTCTTTGTTGTAGTTGTTTTTTTCTTCCTCTGGAAATTGTGCTTTGAAAAGTCATGACAACCCCAGTTTGGTCGAAGACCTGGTCAAATAGAACCTCCAGTTCTGATGTGAATATTTCTAACAATAGTTCTAAGGCTTCAAGACTCTCAACAGGATATTTAATGTTTGACACCATGTTTTCTCAGACTCCATCACCCTATGTCAAAATTTAGGGCATTGTTTTCCCATAAAGAGTCTGAAAAAGAGTTCAAAAGAAACTGAGAATAGTAGTTGCCTATGGGGTAGGGAAACTGGGAGGATGGGAAACAAGGACAGAAGTGAGAATTTTTACTCTTTCTTTCACTTTAATGGTTCTCCTGGGTTTGTTTTAATGCTTTTTGTTTTTAAAACCACATGAAAGCTGTATACAGTAAAAAAAGAAATAAACTTAAAAATTCTATTTAGAGAAAGTACCTAGGAGAGTTACAGATACCATCTAGGTCTAGTACTGGTCTCAGATGTCTTTTGAGCTTCTGCTAAAACACTGCATTCAATTAATTTTTAAAAACTGAAGTAAAGTTTACCTACAGTGAATTGGGCAGGTCTTAACTGTAAGATTCAATGTCCTTGACATATATACATACATCTGTGTAACTAATATCCTATCCCCGTCATGATGTGGAACAGTTCTATTACTGCAGAAAGTTCCTTCAAGCTCTTATGTAAGTCTCCCAATCTCCTACAGGCAGCCACCACTCTGATTTCTAGCTCCATGCATAAAGTTTCCCAAAGGAATCATATAGCTGTTCCCTTTTGTGTCTGGGTTATTTTGCTCAGCTTCATGTTTTAGGGTTCATTTACATTTACATGTATCAGTACTACATTCTTTTCTCTCTATGTAGTAATATCCCCTTTTCACTCCTAATAGTGGTAACTTTTGCTCTCTCTGCTTTTGTTTTTGTCATGAACAGTCTTGTATTGGTTTTATCAATTTTACTAGTTTTTCACAATGAACTATTACTTTTGTTAATTCTATTGTATTTTTGTTTTCTAATTTGTTAATTTTTTTTCTTTAGGTGTTTATATGAGTACATGGGACCTATAATTTTTGTATAAAGGGAAAATCATCATTTTTTGCTCCTTTCTTCTGCCATTACTTTTCCCCCCTCACCTGCCAAAGCTACTGTTATTCCCTAATTTAAAGAAAAAGTACAAAATATGTGCATCTTATTGTACATAAATTTTATCTCATAAGAAAAAAGGAACTGCAAAATATTGATCTCCAGTTAATGATATGCATTCAATAAAATATTCAGATGTAACTGCTGATATCTGCAACTTATTTTGAAATGTAGCAAAAAAAATGATGGATCAGCAAATGGATAGACAGACATGTGACAATACTGTAAAATATTAATTGCATAATATAGACAGTAGATATATGGGTATTTGCTGCAAAATTCTTTCCATTTTTTTTTTTCTTTTTACCTTTCACCCCCTTCACCCATTTCTTCCATCTCTGGCAACTACCATTCTCTTCTCTGTGTCTATAAGCCAGGTTTTTTGTGTGTTTGTTTTGTTTTTTAGATTCCACATATAAGAAAGATCATATGGTGTTTGTATTTCTCTTATTTCACTTAGCAGAATGCCCTCGAGGTCCACCCATGTTGTCACAAATGGCAGGATTCCCTTCTTTTCATGGCTGAATAATATTCCATTCATCTGTCTATAGATACTTAGGTTGTTTCCATATCTTGACTAGTGTGAATAATGCCACAGTGAACATGGGGGTGATGGCTAGTTTTTAATCTCCAAATTTGTTGTTTTTATTTTTATAGTTTTATACAGCCAGTATTTGTTTTGATTTACCTATGAGTTTATCCATTTCATTACTTCTTTACTTCATCTCAGTACTTTCTTCTGGTTTTAATATTCTTTTTCCTGAAATACATCTCTTAAGAAATTCTGTTAGGGTTTACTGATGGTAAATTCTTTCTATCAGTGTTTGTCTGAAAATGTGTTTCTTTCGTATTCTTGAAGGATGGTTTCACTAGGTATACAATTGAAATTGACTGCTAGCTTCTTTTGGCACTTTTACCAGTATCTTATGACTTCTGTTTTTTGTTTTTGTTGAGAAGCCCACTGTTAGTCTTATTGTCCATCCATTACCGGTGAACATCTCTGTCCAATAATGGAAGATTCTTAGCGACTGTATCCTTGGAAACTGCTTCTACTGCATTTTCTCTGTTCCCTGTTTCTGGATACATCCTGGGTTTTCTTCCTGTATTCTCCCTCTCTTTCAACCTCCCTGTCCTATATTCCATCTCCTTGTTTTTGCTTGAATCTGCATTCTGGGTAATTTATTCAGATCTATATCTCAGTGTATTAATTGTATCTAATCTGTGGTTTAACTTATGCATTGAATTTTTAATCTCAATTTTTATATTTAGTACTTTTTCAATCTCTTCCGTCTTTGGGGAAAAAACCCATCTTGTTTCTTTCTAATATTTACAGTTCCATCTTGTAAGTCTTTGAGCACCATAAACTTACTTATTTTATGTCTATTTCTCATTATCCGGTTATCTGTAGTTTCTGCAGGTTAAATTTCTGCTGTTTGTAGTTTCTGCTGACTGGTTTATTCTTCATGCGCTTTGTAATTCCAGATTGTGAGTTTATGTTTGTCAGAATCCTGGGCAGCTTGCCTTGAGGGCATGACCCTCCAGAGGGGATTTATGTTTCCTTTGCTTCAAGTTACTCTTTAGGTGGGGAACTTCCTGGACCATGCTGGCAGTATCCATTCAAATCCCACCTTGTTGTGAAGCTTGAAATTAAAGCTTCTCAGCAGAGACTCTTCTTTTCCCATTCTCTGGACAAGACAGACAAGTTTTTTTTTGGTTTGTTACTGATGTTGAGCAAATTTTTCCAGTCGTCCATCTCAATAGCCTAGCTTTACATGGTTTTCTCCACATCTTCCCATCTTGTATGCCCAAACTGTACCTTCAACACTCAATTTTCTCACTTCACCTTCATTTTTGGCTCCTTGTATATTTTCTTTACTTCTTTTGTGAGCTCAGTATCCATTTGAGAGAGTGTTCATTATATTTGCTCTGGTGTTGATAGGTGTTTTCTGGTCCACCCAGGCTGCCTGCCAGTGTCGTATAAGCTGACCCAACGTGAAATACCACAGAACAATTCTTTCACGGAGTCTTTTTTCTTGGGGAATGTACCTTTCTCCATACTTACAGACTGCTATCGTGTAAAGGAAGTGGTAAAGCTGGCATTCATCTCCGCACTAGCAATTGCTCTTCATTGTAAACTCTCTTTCAAAAAAGTGGCTGATGGGGCTTCCCTGGTGGTGCAGTGGTTGAGAGTCCGCCTGCCGATGCAGGGGACACGGGTTCGTGCCCCAGTCCGGGAGACTCCCACGTGCCGCGGAGCGGCTGGGCCTGTGAGCCATGGCCGCTGAGCCTGCATGTCCGGAGCCTGTGCTCCGCAACGGGAGAGGCCACAACAGTGAGAGGCCCCCATACCGCAAAACAAACAAACAAACAAAAAAACAAAAAGTGGCTGATGATGCCCCTTTCCTTGAAAACCACACGCTTTTTAACGCTCACTTGCACTTCTCCTGGCCACTGGATATGCGGGACTCTGCATGGTCTTTGCTTTCTCCTGTACCTTCAGAGCAAGTAATGAAATGTCTTTCTACAGTCTCTCTTCTAACCACCGACCACAAGTACTTTTCTACCTTCTGAGACTTCAGGTCCTGGCCCACAGTTTTCCTTCTCATTCTTCTCTGCAGTCGCTCTCAGCTGCTTTAGCATCACATAACTTCTAATATCACAGCTTCTATACTTTCTCACCTCCAATTCCTTGCATGGTTTCTACCCCTAGAAATGTAGCCCCACCATTTGAACCATGGTGGTTTAAAAGACACTTGCTCTTTCTGACTGCTTCTCCTTCTTTCTCACATCTGTGCCTTTGCTCATGCTTTTTTTTCTCTGAGGGAATGCCCTCTTCATCCTCTATTTGTCAAAATCCTAACTGTCCTCCAGGACCAGCAAAAGTGTCAACTCTTGTGTGAGGTCTTCCTACATCTTTCCAGTTGGATGTGATCGCTTTCTGTCTTGAACCCTGTAGCACAGTGGTCCCCAACCTTTTTGGCACCAGGGACCGGTTTTGTGGAAGACAGTTTTTCTACCGACTGGTGGCAACCAGTACCGGCCCGGGGGTTGGGGACCCCTGCTGTAGCATTTTGTATACATTTTCCTATGCCAGTCTCCATCCTCTGCTTTGGTGAATCTTACTTGTGCATTTGTTTTCTTTCTATTGAGCTCCTCCCAGCATCTGGGCACCCTTTATTCATTCAAAAACTACTCATTGAGCACTTCCTATGTGCCAGGCACTATGCATGTTTAGGGTTATAAAAAGTGAATAAGATAGGCAGGTTCTTCAAAGGCTATGCCTAACACGGTTCTTTAACACAGAAAGTCCTCATTTAATGAAAAAATAATTCATTTAAAATGTTTACAGAGAAAGACAAAGAAGAAAGTGAAAATGCTTTCCACTTATCCGTTTCTCAAATGTGGTGTATGTGTGCTAAAATTTCTTATCATTTTTTTTGGGGGTGTGTGGATTTGAAGAGCAGAGCAAATGCTCTCTTAGATGTGGGGAAGCAGAATGTGTTTTCCTGTCTCCAGAATATTCTCATCCCAATCTCTCTGGATCTTTGTTAAGCAGGCATTAACTCACAAGAATATTCTTGGAATCACTGTTGCTGCTGGAAGCCCCAGTGGGTCTCTAGACTTAGAATCATCCCTATGAATATTTAAGTTCTAAGTGACAACTTCCACCAGATGGTGCTGAGGTACAGCTGAGACCAGATGGATTTGGATTCTGCAGCCGTTGTCTGTAAACTGCATAGGCTCAGTGGGGTCATTTCATTAACTTCTCAATAACATCACTGTGCATTTTGATTGAATTTTTTAGACTCCACTTAACTGTCTTATGACAGGGGTTTTGCTGTGCATGTAGGAGGCTAGATCATGTAAATAATACAGAAACAAAATGAAAGTTTTTCTCCCCCATTTCTACCTCCACAATTAATCCCTCTAAAACTGTTTATTGCTTCTTGAATTATTTCCGAAAAAATGTTATATATAAGTGCCTGAATCCAAGCATCTACATATATATTTTGTCTTGTTTCTGCATACATATATATGTATATTTTATTACATAAAAAGGATCATACTCATCTATTGTTTTAAACCATGTTTTCATATTAACATGTCTTTGAGATTTTTCAATACCAACATACATATTCATTCTCTCATTATTACATTCTAATAATTTATTTTGATTAATATCAAATTTTCCATAGTTTATTTTGGTTGTGTCTGGGTTTTCGCTATTATTAGAAACAGTACCGTAATGAATATTTTTGATAAACGTCGTTGAGAGTATCCATAGGGTAAACTCCATACAGAGGGATTGTTGGGGAAAGTTACCTGCATTTTACGTTTAATGGATAACTGCCAAATTCCCTTTCACGAATGTTGCACGCGCATGAATACCGATTATACTAAGACGTTTACATTTTTGTCAGTTTTATAAACAGTTTTGTAAGTTAAGCATGGGGCTTAACTTTAATTAATTTCTTTAATTAATTTCTTTAATTACGAACGAGGCTGCGTGTCTATGGATTTCACTGTGGAGCCTGAGTTTCGCCCGCCTACCTGGGAGAAACCCTAAGCGGTGCCTTGACTCCTCCTGTCCAGCAGGGGGCGCGGGCAGGGGCCGCTCGCGCATGCGCAGTGAGCTGGGTGTCAGGCCGCCGAGCCCAGCCGGCCCAGTGTTCCCCGCTAGCTACCGCAGACCCGGCGCAGGCGGCGGCGACCAGCAGCTTCGTGCGATCCCACCCAGGCGGCTGTGGCCAGTGCCCCGCGGCATGAGCCGGTGACCGAGCGCGGGGCCGAGCAGGAGGCAACCGTGGCCGAGGTAAGCGGGGCGCGGAAGGGCCGGGCGGGCCCCCGGTGAGGGTTCGGGCCTCCCCGGGCCGCGGCGGAGTCGGGGCCGAATCGCCGGGGAAGCGCGGACCGCGGGGAGGTCCGAGGGCTGCAAGAGGCCGGCGCCACTCCCGGTGAATTCCCGCTTTGGGTGCGCTTTGATTTCCTCCCCGCCTTCTCCTTCGTCACCCGACCCGCCTAGCACTTTGGTTTCCCACCTGTTTCCTTGCCCACTTCTATTCCCCGTCCGCACCTTTCCTTTTTCCCGGGATCCTGTGGCTTCCTTTTCCGAAGGCCCCACCCTCTGCCGTGACCTCTCTCTGCTGCCAGCTCCTTCCCGCGAGCCACAGGGATCTGCTTTCTCCCGCTGGGATTTTTCAGCTCTGGGTTCTGCCTTGGCCAGTGGCGTCCCGTGCGGTACCAGATGCCCTGGGCAGGACCGGATGCTCTGGTGAGGAGGGTGGCCAGCGGTGTCCGGGCTCTAGGCATCTACTTGAAGCCCAGAGGCACTTGGAGTTTTACTTACTGACGGCGGGAACCAGATCTATGTATACAGTTTTGAGGTTAAAATTACTTGGTGTAACTTATTGGGAAGTGCTAATCTAGAAGGGTCCTTGATTTATCTGTCTGAAGATGTCTTGAAATAGAAATACGTCCATTTAAATTCTTCTTCTAAGTCAATTGAGTGCCCTGAGGACTTAAACGGGACTTAGTTTGTAAATTTCAGAGCTCAAAGGCTATTTACAGTAATAAAATACATGACTCAATTTCTATCACTCCTCACTGCCGCTGACTTAAGCCATCTGGTTGCAAATGCTGGTGTAAATGGATTTGCGTCTGTCAAATTATGCTGGTTAATTGAGGACTGAAAAAGGTGTATCTAATTCAGGCTTTTAAGGGTAATTAGGGGAGGCAGCTTCACATGGGGGTTAGAGAGCGCAGGCTCTGGAGCCAGGCTGCCATTCTCCAGATCCTAGCGTTGGCATTTTCTAGTTGTGTGACATTGGGCAAATTGCTTAGCCTTCCTTGTTACTTTCGCTGTCTGTAAAATGAGGATAATCATAGATTGTCACAGGGCGCTGTTAGGAAGATTAGGTTAATGCAGAGCGCTTAAAACAGATCCTGGCATGTGGTGGGTCTGCAGTAAAGCTTAGTTATTGTCAGTAGTTCCTTAGTTATATGCACTGTGTTAATTATAGTATAATTCGCACAAAGGGGCACAGGTTTTTGTTTTTTAAATTTGGAATCATTTTTAGGGGTGGTTCGCTATAACATAACTTTAATTGTAAAGGATCCTATCAGGTAAGGCAGTGAATTGCAGATTTTCCTGCTTCGGTTAATATTTGGTTCCTTTGTTTTCAGGAACAGGTGAGTTAAGTTCCAGGGTCGCAGCGGCCCCAAGAGTTCATCTGTGAGGGCTTCTGTAAAAAGGTTAAGAAGATGAGAGTTTGGGACTGAAAACTTTGGACTAAGTGGATTGGACATAGCCTGAAGCACTAAGGAAAGGTTATTCGGGCAAGATTTAGGAATAACTAATTCCAGGAACAGAAAATGCATCTCATCTTGACAGTAGAGTGAGGTTGAAAGATTTTTCCAGTGATTCAGTGCCTGACATCTAGCCGGATGATTCCAGTGTTTTGCAGGGACAGATTTGATGTGCTTTGAGGAGGCTAAAGTTTGTAGGGCTTGTTGTGAAATTCTTATTTTGACCCAGGTTGTGGTATTATATGGAAAAACATTCATTAATAGAAGATTCCTTTTGGTTTGTCCTCTTGGGGAAGCTCAGTGTTAGGGGAGAAGAGGGTGGTCAAGGGTAGGTACAGAAAATTCCATCTGTGAAATTACCTGTCTATTTTCGCCCCCCCCCTTTGGAAACTAATTCAAGAAAGAAACTGATCAGAGTTCATCACCATATAATAACTCAAAACTTGGGCCTTGAACAGTGTGTGTGCTGACGGAACTGGGAAGTATAGAGACACTCCTTCATTCAACAAACATTTATGTTTACATGGAATGTGTTCTAGACATGATATTAGATGCTGGGAATACTGAGCAGAGATGAAAAACTGATTACAAGAAAATGACGACCAGTAGAAGAGAGACTTGCAATTACATAACCAATTACTACAATCTGGCAAGTGCTGTAATGAAGCCTGTAAAAGGTACAAGGATGTTCACGGAGAGTTCTCAGTCTCTAAAGCTCGACTTAGTTGGGGGCTGGTTTCTTTTTCACTTAAGGCTTTTCCCCTCATTTCTTTTTTTATTAAGAGTTTTTATTCCACCTCAAGTGCTCGCCATCTCTCTCAGCTGTTCAGCACAGACTTCTGGACGCCCACTTAGCCAGTGTAGGCAAACCTCAGAAATGTGAGTTTATATCCCTGGGAACAGCCCTCAGGTGGGGGGTGGGGGTGGGGCAGGCACGGGATGGATAGGCTTCGGTGGATGAATGTCCTTGAAAGGGACAGTTCTCAGGTGCATTTTTCAGAGGGACCCTAGAAGGGTTGAGCCCCATCTGCCCAGCTCAGTATGGCAGCCAGCACGGTAATGCACCCTCGTGGCTTTCCGTTCTTCTCTAGCTCCTCTCCTTACTCCCTCCCTCTGGCTTTCTGGATTCGTCTTCTGCAAGCTACTTGCACCCAAGCCATTTTTAGTTTGGCAGAACATAAACTAAGGCGGTTGGTACTGGAAGTGGCTCTAGAAAGCAGGTCCTGAGAATAGCGTTGTGAGACTGGAATCGCTCACCCTCAGGTGGCAACCAGGACCCCTTTGCTGGGGGTAGGTGAGGCGTTGATAACCCCTGGTGCCCTCTAGCGTCACTGAGTAGTCAGGCTGACCAGTGGAGGGTTGGGATGAGGTTCGGGTAGAAAGGAAAGCATTGGCTGGCACAGGAACTCTAGCGCTCGAGCAGTGTGTGGACCGTGGTCATGATGACGCTGGTGGAATTGGTTGGCTCTTGTTATCCCCTTAGAGGCCTTAGGTGCGATCAGGCTCAGATCAGCCAGATATCAACTCGGGACTCATTGTGAAAGATAGAACTCCATGGCAGCGTTTCCTGCAGCTGGAGGGCAGACTGTGTTGAAAATCAGGCCCAGAATTTAATCGTAATTATGGCTGAACTGCAAAGGAAGCTGAGTGCACGGCCTTGACAGGCTTCTTCTGCTGAAGTCAGGGCCATGATAGGGAAGAAGTGGGACTGTGAGTCTTAGGATGGAGATTTTGGGTGGAGGCGCTGAGGACTGAACTCCCAGATTTCCTAGATCCTCTGGGCCAGCAGAAGTCTCTCACTCCATTGCTGAGAAGAAGCGCTCCTCACCTGACACTATGCAGAGGCTTCCCTGGAGGTGGATACTTTGCAAGGTAGTGCTTCTCCTCGTCAACATTGCCCGTCCCCTGCCCTCAGATCTCAGCACTGCCTAAGTGGGGAAGTACAGCCCCTGCCGCTGGGGTGATAGCTGTTGTACTGGAAGAGCTGCAGGACCTGGCTCGTGTGGACCAGCAGGAACTGGAGGGACACACGGGAATGAATCTTGAGGGTGTCAGACCAAAAGTGGGGTCGCGGTGGACTGTGAAGCCAAGTGGGAGTGACTCTTGGGAGGATTCTCTCCTGATTCAGGGTTTCGTGGCCTTGAAGAGACAAGCTGGTCCTGATGTGCTGCTGGGCAGGCTCCTGGAACCTTGGATATGACTGTGATACCATTGGTTCTCAACTGAGGGCCAGTTTGCCTCCCCAGGGGGTATTTGGCAATGTCTGGATGTATTTTTAGTTGTCACAACTAGGGGTTGCTTCTGGCTTCTCTTGCTTAGAGACCAGGGATGCTACTAAACGTTCTGCATTGTACAGAACAGCTCCCCACAGAAAAGAATCGTTTGGCCCAAAATGTCACTAGTTCTGAGCTTGAGAAACCCTAGTCTGGAGTAAATGAGGTAAAGGTGCCAGAGCTGTGTTGGCAGAATATTAAGGTGGGGGTCAGAAGGTTCAGGGAGGTGGAGATTTGAAATAGATTTATTACTTGAGGCCAGAGGTGCATTTCCTGTTCCCCGGAGGGCGTTCTCCCTTCCCTCTGGTAATATGGAACCGCAGGGAGGGGACCAGCACGTTTGAGAAGCTCAGCATTGATTCTCCTCCATAGGCCAGGATTGACCTTATGAGATTTGACCATGGAGCTGGGCTCCCAAGTATCAATGAGGATGATAGGATTCTGAAGTGGCAGAAGCCAGGTGGTGGCACTAACCATCAGAGGCAAGGTAGACACAATATCCATAACAAGCAGTGAGGCTTGACTCGAAACCAGTGTGTCTGGACCCACTGTGATGCTAAGAGAGCCTGGCATTCCTATAGAGGGTATAGATGGGCAGCCAACTAGGGTATTGTTTCACGGTATAACCAGAAAAAAAAAATCAACAGATGACAAGTAGAAGGCTGATGTCAGCTGCTGCAGTGGAAGAATCACTATCACCTAGTTTTCAGATGTGAGCCAGCTCTCAGACCTGTATCCCGTGGATTGAGGGGGAGGCTGGATCTCTTTGAAGAAGAACTTTGCAACATCCCTGAAAGTATAGACAGATGTTTCCCGAGTCCTTCCTCAAGGGAACTGTAGGTCTTTATCAGACTTGTGGTACATCAAGGAAAGGAGAATATCCAGACCTTCTGAGGGCTGTTAAGTACAGGGTCAGAGCTGATAATAATACCAGGCAACCTGCAAGCAATGGTGGATAGGGGTTTGCAGATAAATGACCTGGCCTCTCCTCCTTCTGAGGGACATGGTGTAGTTTGCATGTTCTTCAGAGGGTTCCTAAAGAGCCCCTGTTACCCAGCTTAATAACACACTCCTACTGGCTTTCCCTGCTTCCCTGTCTCTCTTCTTGCTCTGTTCTCTAGCTCCCAAGTAAAACTGCCTGCACCCCCATCCTCATCTCTGGTTCTTTTTGGGGGGTTAATTATGGGGGGACTCAAACTGTGACAGGTACGAAGCAAAATGTGATGCCTAGGACTCTAACATAGTGGGTGTCAGCCTCTCTTCTTTCCCGCCCTCCTGATGCCCCCTTGGGACTGTGGAGCCAGGTCATGCTCCTACTCTTGGAGTTCCTGTGGCTCCAGGTCACCACCAGCATTTGGTGGTGTTTGGTGCTGACCTTCTGCCATGCCGGTGGGTAGAAGATGTCTTGCTGTTTTATTGCCATACTTTTCCTGTCCATTAATTAGAATAAACATCTTTTCAGGTGTTTATGTGCCATTTTGTGGCCTCTTCTGTGACATTCTTGTTTAAGTCTTTAGTTTTCTGTTGTTTGTTTTGGCTTTTCTGTTTTTTTCTTACTACTTTGTAGGAGCTCTTTATTCTGGTTGCTAGTTAGTCCTTATCGGTTACCTGTATTGCAAATATCTTCTAGTTTATAGCCTGTCTTTTTACTTCCTTACGATGCCTTTTGATGAATAGAAATTCCTAATTGTAACACTGAATTTATTATTTTATCTTTTTGTGATTTGCATTTCATTTTGGAAATCATTCTCTGCCTGGAGTTCACAGGTATTCTCTCTTGTGCTCTAAATATCTTACAGTTTTGCCTGTTACGTATAGCTCTTTAATCTGCCTTGAATAGATTTCCTCCCCTCTGGCTGCTTTTAATATTTTTCTTTGGCTTTCTTTTTAGTGGTTTTACTTTGACATATCTCGTTGGTTTTTGTCTTGTTTTTGTTTTTTTTGTATATATTGTACTTGGAGTTGAGCATCTTGAATCTGTGAGTTGATATATTTCATTATGTTTGGAAGAACTTGACAGCTGGATTTTTGTGTCTACTTCTGCCTTCAGTCTTTGCATTATCACACATCACGTAGCTTCTGGCAAATGGAAGGTGAAAAAATAATGTCAGCGTTATTATAAAAATAGTTCAGATCCTTTGAAAGGGTCTTGGGGACCCCCTGGAGCCCCCAGACTGTATTTTGAGAATCACTGGTCTAAGATTTTTGGTATTAGTGTTATACTAGCCTCCTAAAGTAGGTCAGGAAAGGTTTCTTCTTTTTTCCGAACTTTGTGTAAAATTGGAATTATTGTTTCTTGACTGTTTGGTAGAACTTGGAAAATCTTTTGGATCTGGAATTTTCTTTATAGGAAGATTTTTTAAACTTTTGATTCAGTTTCTTTAATGTTATAGAGCTTTCCAGGTTTGCTGTTTCTCCTTGAGACTGTTTTAATAAGGTATATTTTTTTAAAGAATTTCTCCGTTTCATTTAAATTTTCAAATATTTTGGTATAAGTTCATTGATACCATCTCATCTTTTAAATACATGCAGTATTTAGAGTTATGGGCCCCTTTTCATTCTAGTATTTATTTGTGCTTTATTTTCTCTTTATCTTGATTAATCTTACCAGAATTATGTCAAATGTCAATTTCTTTCTTTCTTTTTTTTTTTTAAGAAGATGTTGGGGGTAGGAGTTTATTTATTTATTTATGGCTGTGTTGGGTCTTCGTTTCTGTGTGAGGGCTTTCTCTAGTTGCGGCAAGCGGGGGCCACTCTTCATCGCGGTGCGCGGGCCTCTCACTATCGTGGCCTCTCTTGTTGCGGAGCACAGGCTCCAGACGCGTAGGCTCAGTAGTTGTGGCTCACGGGCCTAGTTGCTCCGCGGCATGTGGGATCCTCCCAGACCAGGGCTCGAACCCGTGTCCCCTGAATTGGCAGGCAGATTCTCAACCACTGTGCCACCAGGGAAGCCCAAATGTCAATTTCTTTAGTCTTTTTTAAAAAAAGTTTAGCTTTGTTGATCCTATTTGGGTTTTAATTAATTAATTTCTGTGCTTTTATTTATTAATTCCTTCTATTATCTTTGGATTTATTTTGTTGTGGTAATGTCTTTTTTTATAATCTGGAGCTCATGAAAATTGTAAAGGTCATATGTGGATACTACCTTTGTGGATTATTGCTCTAGTAGGTTATGGCCAGTATTTTTAAGAAGCAATAGGATAATAGAAGAACACAGTGTTCATCACATGTTCTGTGGCTAATACTATGTACTAAGGTTAAACATTGTTTTGTGAAAATAGTGTTTTGTGAAATATTTCAGATATTATACATACACATCTATGTCTGTATTGGGTCATAATATAAAATGTTGTCTTATAGGTTTTAGTTTAAAAAAAGTTTTAAAAGCTACTGTGCCCTGGTGGCGCAGTGGTTAAGAATCCGCCTGCCAGTGCAGGGGACACAGGTTCGAGCCCTGGTCTGGGAAGATGGCACATGCTGTGGAGCAACTAATCCTGTGTGCCACAACTACTGAGCCTGCGTGCCACACTAGTGAAGCCCACACGCCTAGAGCCCGTGCTCCGCAACAAGAGAAGCCACCGCACTGCAATGAAGAGTAGCCACTGCTCGCCGCAACTAGATAAAGTCCGCATGCAGCAACAAAGACCCAACACAGCCAAAAATAAATAAATAAAATAAATTTAAAAAGAAAAAAGCTACTATGTTAAATTGTAGTTTGTCTAACATTAGTGAAGATTTCAAACCTAGCTGCATAAAATAAACATGCAAGGGGCTTGCTAAATCGGTAGATTCTTTGACCTTATTTTAGACCTACTAATACAACCCTCCAGTGCTGGGGCCAAGGACTCTGTGTTTTAACAAGCTCTCCCTGTGTGATTCTTAGCATTTGGGTGTTTGCGAACCCCTGATTCAGGATATAGATACACCTTGAGAGCCTGTTGGGCAGTTCTGGCATGTGGTATATGGAGAGTGCAGCTCCTTGCGTGCATTTGTCCCAAGACCTCTTTTCTAGCTCCAGGAGAGATACATGGAGAGAGGGAAAACGATAGGGTGGGCCTGGTGGTAAGGAGGGGTTGGGGGCAGGCTAGGAACATCCTGTTCATCGTTAGAATGACAGAAAAAGTGAAATAGCTCTTGTGCCTGCATTTCTGTCATGGAATCCATTAGTATATATTGAATGGCTAATGTATATACCCCAAAGATGATAATCTTTAAGCTTAAAATGTATGAACTTTCATATATTAGTCCATGACAAGCACATTTCTTTTTTTGTTTTTTTTTTTTGGTGGTACGCGGGCCTCTCACTGTTGTGGCCTCTCCCATTGCGGAGCACAGGCTCCGGACGCGCAGGCTCAGCGGCCATGGCTCACGGGCCCGGCCGCTCCGCGGCATGTGGGATCTTCCCGGACCGGGGCACGAACCCGTGTCCCCTGCATCGGCAGGCGGACTCTCAACCAGTGCGCCACCAGGGAAGCCCACAAGCACATTTCTTGATATGTTCCAGATCATGGTCTCAGAGAGATACAAGTTGAAATCATTCATGACCATTCAGCACATTTTACCCAAAAAGCTGATAATGATTGCAACATTCAAGGCTTGACGAGACCCTGCTGGCTAGGAAGGAAGCAGTCTTACAGTGTGGGCATGATTGGGGAGAACTCCGTTTAGCTGTAGTGCAAATGGTTGATAAACCTTAAGATAGACCTCTATGAGCTTTTCAGTTATTTCCCTTTATATTAATAGCTTTTCCGAATGAGGCCATTTTGAAGATCGGGATTTTGACATGTGGAATGCTGAAGTCCTAAAGTCTCTTGTTGCAGTAACGTGTCTGTGCCAGATGATGCAGCCACACTCAAGGCTTTACCCTCCCCACACGGTAGCTAGGCATCAGGTGTCGGGCTTGTTTGGTAAGGATCTTAATTTGTGCTCTACAGGGGGACTCTGCATTTTCAGCTGAGGACTAAGGATTTTCTTTGTATCTGTCAATGATGCTTATTGGCTCTTTATCTATTGCTACATAACAAACCACCTCAAAACTTACAGACAGCCACAGCAACAGCCATCACGTATTTGCTCGGGATTCTGCCATCTCTACAGAGCTTGGCGGGGCTGGTTCATGTTTGCTTCACATAGTTTCCCCTGGGGTCTTCCTGAGGTTGCCCTAAGCTGGGAGCTCAGCTTCCTTATAACGTGGCGGCTGGCTTCCATCGGCTACAGGGTCTCTTAAGTCTTGGACTCAGAAGCCCCAGAATCTCACTTTGGCCACGTTCTTTTGGTCAGACAGGTCACAAGGCTAGCCTGAATTCAGGGGGAAGGGAAAGAGATTCCACCTTTTGGTTGGACGAGTGGCGTGCACCTTCACCAGTGGGAAGAATTGTTGGCATCAATCTTTAGAAGTGGACCTACCTCATTGGCCTTTCTTTTCCTCCCTCCACCTCTCCTTTCCTCCTTCCCTGTTTCTTCATTTCTCCCTTCCATCTAAATGTGTCAACTATCCCTGTATTATAAAACATCAGTATATATTTTATTTAAAGATTAATCTTCTCTAATACCCCTTGGCCTTTTCTTGATGTTTTCTTAGTGGTGTTTTTACATTCCGCATTTTGTTTCGCTTTTGTGTCTCATTAGCATATAAATTCCTCTAAGGTAGGTTTTCACTTTCTTCTTTGTTTAGGTCCTCTATGAGGGTTGAATGAATGAATGAAAACAGACTTTAGTACAATGAACGAAACCTCAGTTTGTCCAGATGAAGCATCAGTTTATGTTAGGCAAGTATTTGAAAGCAAAATAAAGCAACTGTCTTCAGCTGTTGCACTTTTGACTTTTCTTCCTTGGTCAGTACCCCTCTTCCTAGGTCCCACGCATTTACCAGCGTATGCTTTCAGAGAATATATATCTATAGAATATAGTAATATTTTTACATTATGTTAACAGTATGTATATTAAGTATGTAATATTAAATACATCATATTCTCATATGTACACATTTATTTATTTATAAGACAGGTCAAAAATCCCTTTTCATTATTTCATCAGACCACTTAAGGAAAAGAGGTAGATTCAAAGTTGAACAGTCCTTTCAAGTGTCATCTGCCACCCTAAAAACTTCACTCTTCTCTCTTCTCCCCTGGTAACCAGGAGTGTGAGGAAGAGGCTCTCTGGGTCATTATGTGTGCCTCGGTCAAGTACAACATCCGGGGTCCTGCCCTCATCCCGAGAATGAAGACCAAGCACCGCATCTACTACATCACCCTCTTCTCCATCGTCCTGTTGGGCCTCATCGCCACGGGCATGTTTCAGTTCTGGCCGCACTCCATCGAGTCCTCGAGCGACTGGAGCGTGCAGAAGCGCAGCATCCGCGACGTGCCGGTGGTCAGGCTGCCGGCCGATAGCCCCGTCCCCGAGCGTGGCGACCTCAGCTGCAGAATGCACACATGTTTCGACGTCTACCGCTGTGGCTTCAACCCCAAGAACAAGATCAAGGTGTACATTTACTCTCTGAAAAAGTATGTGGATGATGTGGGTGTCCCAGTGAGCAGCACCATCTCCCAGGAGTACAACGAGCTGCTCACGGCCGTCGCAGACAGCGACTACTACACCGAGGACATCGCCCGGGCCTGCCTGTTCATCCCGTCCATCGACCTGCTCAACCAGAACGCGCTCCGCGTGAAGGAGACGGCGCAGGCGCTGGCCCAGCTCTCCAGGTATCACAGCAGGTCTTCCAGGAACTAGAGGGAAGGAGGGACAGAGCCAGTCGTTCTCTTGAGCTGGTGTCCAGCTGCCTGCTTGTCTCTTATCTCATATGGGGGTGAGTGGATGAGCGACTGACTTGTGGGAGGACCGGTGCTTTGGGCACCTGGCCTCTGTACCACCCTCCTGTGCCACTGCTGTGGGTTCCCAGCCTCTTAACGTTTAGAAGCTAAGGATGCTTCCCATGCTTTTCCTTTTAAATTTAAGCACTTTTTTCCCTTCTTTATAACTCACATAATGTACATTCACTATAAAAAGTCTGAAAATACAGGTAAGCAAAAAGAAGAAAGTAAGGTTCATTCCATAAGCCTGCCTCTAAGAGATAATCATTAATATTTTGCTGTTACTTTTCAGTCATTTTTGTATAAAACATAGGCATGTATGTATACATTTTTGTATAAAGTATATATACATATGCATGTGTATATAACATTTTTGTTCAGAATGGGATCACACAGCAAAACACGTTCTCTTGCTGCCTTTTTCCCTTCATTTATCATGAATGTATTTCCAGATAATTTCATCTTCATCTGTCGGTTCTACATGACTTTAAGGGCTGCATAGTATTCCATTTTGTACATGCTCCCTAATGTATTTAACCGGCCTTCTGTTTATTTATTTTTTGTTTCTGTAACCAAATGGTGAACACTCAGGTAGCGTTCAGGTTTTCATTAGCATAAGCAGATCTGTAGTGGACAAGCTTGGAGTGCACATCCCCCAGCTTTACTTTCAAGGAGCCAGGCCAGTGCCTGATGCACTGTTGGGATCTCCAGGCACTCCTGAGAAGAGGCCCTATTATGGGTTGGGGAGACTACTTGTCATCCAGAAGCTGACTTGTCTTTGTTTCTTCATAGTTGATGTGTGAATTCTCCTACATGTTTAATTTCTTAATAGGTGGGATCGAGGAACCAATCACCTCTTGTTCAACATGTTGCCTGGAGGTCCCCCAGATTATAACACGGCCCTGGATGTCCCCAGAGACAGGTAGGTGTATTTGGGGCTGTCCCCGTGTTAGGGTTCTGAGGATTAAGTAAATGCAAGACCCTTTCGTTCATGAGAAATCGTATTTCTCAGCCCACTGGGACGTACTTTGTAACCAGAATTGTTTGTTAAAGTGGAGAATTGTCCTAGGCCTTTTCCTCCTCAAGACATAGAAGCATCAGACCTGCCTAAGTCTGTTGGAAACCAGTTGGAGCTTAGGTTCCAGCGGGGCATCTTAAAAGTTTGTCTTGTCTTCCTAGTCTGGGTTGTGCTCTCCCGAGCGTAACCTCCCCTCCAGCCCCCACAGGGCCTGGTTCCTCACTGGCTTGTGTCAGCTTTCTCTGCATTTGGGAGCATTTTCCAGAAGTAGAGTCGCAGCTACTGAGGGGAGAGGGCGTGGCTGTGTGATTGGAGCCTGTAACATCCAGGGAATGAGGGTACTCTGAGTACCATTTACTCTCTGCTGTTTCAGTTAGTGGGCTTCTTTCCTTCCTTCCTAATAACACTTCCGAACAGGCAGATCCCGTGTGGGGCGGCCATGACGTCACGACTGCAGTTGGAGCTCGCTTACTGTGTATTGGCCCTTTTGTGCATTGACTGCACCACTTCCTGGAAAACTCAGGAGGGAGGTGCCGCTTAACGTTCCTCTCCTATCACTGGGTTCAAGGCTCTGAAGAGAGCAGAAAGTTTGGGCCCAACATGTGGGTCCGGGGCAATACTCAAGGTAGAGGATTACTGTAAGTTCATATATGAACTCATTTATAACTAACTTTATTACAGTTGATGTTTAACTCTTAAAAAATCATTGTTACTGAAAAAGGTGAGGCCAGCTGTGGGAGGCCAGCATTGTCATTTATGAAAATCTACACTTAGTACTGCTTTTCCCCAGAAGATTAAATCTAAGCCCTCTTTGCTTTAAGTGATTATCTAGAGTCAGTATTGAGTTTCTATCTGGAAATACAATTATCACTGGAAAAGACACACCCCAGGACCATTCCTCAGCTTTGGTGTAGAAACCATTTTGGACGATAGAGGGCAGCCAGGCCACACAAATTCTGTAGAAACCATCTAAACACAAGGTGATCCCTGATTTGGCTCTCAGCCCCAGTGTTCCTGAGTGGGCTGCTGTTTTATGCGTTTGGTTATTCTGGGAAAATGAAATACTTTAGAGGATAGAGAAGGGAAGGGAAAGAGCTGTTAGGAATGCAATGTCTTCACCTGCGGTTCTGTTTTTTTTTTTTTTTTTTTTCGGTTCGCGGGCCTCTCACTGCTGTGGCCTCTCCTGTTGCGGAGCACAGGCTCCGGACACACAGGCTCAGCGGCCATGGCTCACGGGCCCAGCCGCTCTGCGGCATGTGGGATCTTCCCGGACCGGGGCACGAACCCGTGTCCCCTGCATCGGCAGGCGGACTCTCAACCACTGCACCACCAGGGAAGCCCCTCTGGGTTTGTTTTGAGAAGGGCTTATTTCTGTTTGGGACATTTCACTTTTGCTGACATTGTGGTATATGTATCTGCATGGGAGAAGTATTTTATTTTTATCAAGTGCACACGTTTAAAAGGGGTTTCATTTCTCTGCAGCAAAGTGTCAAGTAATCAGAGAGTGTAAGTCCTTGCTGGTACTTAGGTGTTAAGGGTCAGGAAGGTTAAATCGTTTTCCCTGTGCATGTGTTTTTTGTAAGTGATTATAGGCAATCCTGTAGCAAGTAATGAATCATCATATAGTCCTCCTTTATCTTTCCATGGGAGAAATATCGTTTTGAAGCCTAGGTAGTCTTCTGGGTGGGGTAAGGATAGTAGATTTGTTTGTTAATTTTTCTTATCCTTTGTCCTTGCTTCTGGGTTCAGAGGCAAGAACCATGAGTGTAGAATGGTTTTAGCAGGAGCTGCACATCTGATTATTCAGAAATTAGAAAACAGGCTAGATTAGACTGTTTCTAAGATTCCCCTGAAATCTAAAGTCCTAGGTGTGATTATTTAAGAATTACTTGACTCAGGGAAATGCAAGGACCAGGACTGAAGCAAATGTCAGCTCAGAAAATACATCTTTTATGCTGTTTGAATCTGTTTTTCTCTCTCAGATTTTAAAAATCCTATGCATGATACACATATACCTTCTTGGTACAAGATTGGAACAATATGCAAGGGTACGAAGAGTAAAATGTAAAAGTATGCTTTCAAATCCTCCTCTTTTTACTCTATTACTGAGAGGTAATCACTGTTATCAAACACTGTGTATTTTTCGAGTCTTTATTTGATGGACTTATAGTCAAACACACACATGTATATATTCACATACCCATTTTATTTTAAGTCAAATGACAGCAAATTGTACCTCTTCAATGTCTGACTTTACTGATCTTTGTTTTCTCAGACACATTCTGTAATTTTATTACTACCTTAGATTTTTGTTATCCTTTCTTTGCACGTATCGCTCACAAATTTCTACTTTCGTATGGGTGTATATTTATTTAAACTTCTTATGGAAACTTTTCAACTTATATAAAAGAAGAGAAACCAGTACAGTGAGCCCCACATACCCACTGTCCAGCTGTGATGTCGTCAACTTGATTTATCTGTATTCCTACCTACCCCTCACTAGATTATCTAGGAGCAAATCCCAGATGTTATATCATTACATCTGTAAACATTTCATTTGAGGCTCTGCATAAGAGCTTTTTAAAAAATGTAACTGCAGGGACTTCCCTGATGGCACAGTGGTTAAGAATCCGCTTGCCAATGCAGGGGACATGGGTTTGAGCCCTGGTCCGGGAAGATCCCACATGCCACGGAGCAACTAAGTCCGTGCGCCACAACTACTGAGCCTGCCCTCTAGAGCCCGCGAGCCACAACTGCTGAGCCCACGTGCCACAACTACTGAAGCCAGCGCACCTAGAGCCCGTGCTCCGCAACAAGAGAAGCCACCACAATGAGAAGCCCGCGCACCGCAGCGAAGAGTAGCGCCGCAACTAGAGTAAGCCCACGCACAGCAACGAAGACCCAATGCGGCCAAAAATATATATATATATATATAACTACAGTACTATTATCATACCTAAAAAAATTAACAGTAGTTCTTTAATACCACCAGATATTCACCAAATATCTAGCCATTGCTCAAATGTACTTGTCTCATAATTTTTTTTTTTTTTTTAGTTTGAGTCAGTAAACAAACAAGGATAATCAATAGAATTGGTCAGTTTCACTTTTTGCAAACCCTAAAACGTGAAGCTTTATATATGAGGAATTTGCAGGCCTGATTAAAAGGAAGCAAAAGATACACTTGCAGACGAACTGTGTTCAGGCTCTGTGAATACTCACATGGGAGGAGGCGAGCTGTGAGAGTGTCTGGGAAAGACCCAGCGTAGGGATGCTGAGTCCGCGAGGCCAGGCTGAGAGGAGGAGGGTCGGTGATGTCCCCGAGTCAGGAAGTCCCGGAAAATGCTGAAGGTTCTGGTGACACTTCCAGTGATAGAGCGCCTGGTGTGAGTGTGGTCATCATAGTAATGCTTTCTTAGCTGCAAGGTTTTGTTCAGTCTCTTGCGGCTTTGGAACGGATCTCTGATTTGGGGATACATAATGGGAAAACAGAATGTGCTTCTCAGAAATTTACTTTTCAGTCAATGTAAAACATGTGTTCTGTAAAACAAGGGAGGCTTACAATTTTTTCTCCATTATAATGTTAGGGAAAGCTTGGCAGAAGAAGATACAGTGACTTCGAGTTGAAGTCTTAGCAGCAGGGCCGGTGTGCGGCTTGTTTGACTAATTGCAGCGGTGACTCTTCCTGAGATCACACACCAGATTGCACATGTGTGATCTGTGGCAGGAGACATGCTTCGGGTTGCATGCTTTCCTCCTACCAGTGCTTAACCCCCTCCCTTACCCTCGGGGCTCCGGGGACAGAGTAACAGTAAAAGTTGGCATCATGTACACCTGCTTCCTTTCTCACTACATACGCATGCTCCTGTCCTCTGGGGTGTGGGTGTAATTACCTCATCACCCACTGCCCTGGCTTACCTGGACTGCTTGGTGCCTGTATATCGGATCAGTGTTTGCTTCTCTGCACATAGGTTGTGGGGACCCATGCAGTCTGCTTGCCATCATGGTCATGGAACCCACCCAGATTCATGTTGGACGGATTCATTGCTGAATGCCACTCAAGAAAAATAAGACCGTATGTTGATATGAAGGCTAGTTACTGAGTCTTACATAGAGGACTGGCAGCTGGAGAGGTTTTTAGCCTGCACGTTACCTCCCTGACCAACTCTTGGTTTCCTAAAGCTTAAACAAACACATTGGGATTCCCAGGGGTGGTTTGAAAATCTTTGGACTTCAACTGGTCATGTTAGAAGGGAATGTAGGCTGTCATCAGGGCAGGGAGGGGATTGGTAGCAATCAAGATGGCACAGAATGTGGCTTTTCAGTTCATACACTTTGGCTCAGACTGTGCAGTGCATGGAACTGGCATCACTCTGCCCCAGTAAGTGATTTGATGGGTTTGCAGCCCCAGGGGCAGAATAACTGTAAAAGTTGGTGTGATATACACCTGCTTCCTTTCTGATGAAGTGTCATTGTACTACTTGCTGGATCCAATTAAAACAGAGTCTTCTTGGCTTTCTAACTAAGGAGAATAAAAGCTCATGCATACAGACTGCAAGAGAAGCACTAAAGGTCCAGTTCTGGATTCTGCTTCCTGTAGACGGAATTGGGTTAATAGGACTGAGTAGCTGGAATGGATGGTGAGAGCTGGTAGAGGTTACGTGATGCACACGTAGCTCTGGGATGACAGTGGAAAGAACTGCTCGGGGCGGGAATTGGAGAGAGGCTGGGGTGTAGGCAGCATGAGATGTGATACTTTGCTGTCACCACTGCTTTCTTTGTCCATTGTCCCCTGAGATTCCAGTCAGTGGGGTTGGTAAGTGACTCCCCCAGCCAGTTGTCCTGTACAGACCTATTATTATTGCTGTTATTGTAAGTGTGTTTAAGAGTTGGGTATGACTTTTGGGAGAGGTGAATGGGATCTGAATGAGGTGACAGAGGGGCTGTTCAAAGGGAGTCCTCCTGGCTGTGATGTATTTTAAAACATGGAAAGTAGGGAAAGACTACTTAGGGCCCCGGAGGAAGGGTGGTGACTCAGGAACAGGATGCAGCTGATATCCAGGAGGTGTGATTGTACGACACTGAGCACAGTGTCTTTGTAGAAAACGGACTTGGTAAACATTAGCTGTGGTTGATATTGTTATGAATATTCAATTACCCCTTTCCACAGAGCTTATCAGAATGAAGACCTTCTCTCTTTCTCATCATTTGACAAAATCCTTTGCTTTCAGGGCTCTGTTGGCTGGTGGTGGCTTTTCTACATGGACTTACCGGCAAGGCTACGATGTCAGCATTCCTGTCTATAGTCCGCTGTCAGCCGAGGTGGACCTTCCAGAGAAAGGACCAGGGTGAGGAGCATTCGGCACAACAGGGTGTGCTGGGAGATGCCGGCGAGAGCCAAAGCATCGATTACAGGCCAGGGTCTTTGAGTCTACCATTTCCCTGCCTCACCCCAACCTCATTGATCCTTCAGTTCTCTCTCTCGCTCAGTCAGTTTTGAGTGCTGTCTACCAGGCTTCCCAAATCAGAAATCTATGTGGTGTCATCAACCCTTTCCTCTCCCTTACTTCCTGTATCAGAATAAGAAGTCCTATTGATTCTACAGCCTACGTGTTCAATATTTTCTAGCTCTCTCTCTGCACCCACCCTGCGCCAGGCGACTGTCGTCCTTCCTTTGGATTGCTGAAACGGCTTCCTCTGTGGTCTTCTGCCTCTGGTCTCGCGGTTCTCCAGTTTGACGGTTGGCATCGCGTTGTTCTTGGGAAGCCCAGACTCCTTAAAATGTCTCTCAAGATCCTCGACTACATGACCACTGTCTCCATCTCTAGCCTTTTTTTTTAGTTCTTAGAATAAGCTTTGCTCTCTCAGTTTTTCTGGGCTGTAAACACTCTCCATTGTCTGGAAATCCTTTTCCTCATTTTCATCAGACTAATGACCTGCTTGTCCTGTAGGTTTCAACTTGAATACCGCTTAGTCAGGGGGCACTTTCTGGCCCCTGGAATGGCACTCCTAGTTACCCTCATTACGCCCTTGTAACGACTTGTTTAAACCTTCTCTGTTTTGCATCTTTGATTTTGTAAGCTTCAGCCAGGTCTTGTTTTAAACTGCCACGTCCCCCGTGCCTGGCACATAATTGGGTCATGTTTCTGATATGTGAGCAAGGAAATGAGGAGAGCTGATGGTATGGATGTGCAGGGTATTTTATCTAATTTCTTTCTTTCTTTTTTTTTTTTTGCTGTAGCCTGTTTAAAAGTTGTGCTAATTCATGATGAGCATATCAGTGAGCTTAAAACAAACATGATGATAATAGTATCCTTTGTTTTTGTGACAAGTGCTCATGTATAATATGAAGATGACTGATTTGTATATTGCCACACCAGCAATGTTATACGTGCTGGATGAGATCTACAAACCCACGCATAGCATTTGGTGTCAGAAATGAGTCTCAAGGAAGTAGTTTGCTCACAGAACATTAGAATCATTATTGAAGCATCCCAAATTTCCCCTTAGAAGCCTTTATGGGTTCTTTGAGAAGTAAGGGAACTTTCCCAAAGAGAAGACATTTCACTCCTGTATATGTGTTCCCGTGTGGCCCAGAACCAAATTCTGGAACTTCCTTTAGGCATAGCAACTTTTTATAGACAATGTATAAAGCCCAGGAGATCTTGAAATATTTTTTTCTCTACCATTAGGCAAGTGCAAAAAAAAAGACTGAATGGTTCATGAACTTGCTGCTTAGATCATCTTTGTGGATTTTCCTCTTAGTGGACTCCCAGAGTTGACTTAATTTATTTTATTATTTTTCAATTGAGATATAATTCATATTCCACAAAAGTCACTCAAAGTGTACAGTTCAGTGTTTTTTTGTATATTCACAAAATTGTACAACTATCGTCTAATCACTGTTGTCTAATTCCAGAACGTTTACAGCATCCCCCAAATAAACCCACTGCCTTCTAGCAGTCACTCTCTATCCCTGCCCCCAAACTTCACGCCCCCTGTTCCTAGCAACAACTACCAGTTTGCCTTCTGTCTCTATGGATTTGCCTGTTCTGGACATTTTATATAAATGTGGTCATTCAATATGTGACTTATTGTGTCTGCCTTCTTTCACTTAGCATAGTGGTTTCAAGGTTTATCCATTTTGTAGAATAGAACCAATACTTCATTCCTTTTTTGACTTAATATTTCATCATATGGATATACCACATTTTGTTTATCCATTCTTCAGTTGATGGACATTTGGGTTATTTCCATTTTTTAGCCTTTGTGAATAATACTGCTGTGAACATTCACGTACAAGCTTTTATGTAAACATATGTTTTCACTTCTTTTGGGTATATACTGAGGAGTGGAATTGCCAGGTCATATGTTCACTCTATGTTTAACTTTTTGAGGAGCTGCCAGAATGTTTTCTGAAGCAGCTGTACCATTTTACATTCCCACCAGCAAGGTATGAGGGAGGGTTCCAATATCTTCACAACCTTGCCAAGACTTGTTATTACCTGTCTTTTATTCTAGCCATCCCAGCAGATGTGAAGAGGTATCATTGTGGTTTTGATTTGCATTTCTCTAATTAATAATGCTGAGTACCTTTCCATGTTCTTATTGGCTATGAAAATTTATATACTGTGTTTGGAGAAATGTCTATTCAAATCATTTGCCCATTTTCAAATTGGGTTGTGTTTTTATTGGTGAGTTGTAAGAATCCTTGTACATTTTGGATACTAGATCCTTATTAGATATATGATTTGCAGATGTTTTCTCCTATTCTGTAGGTTGTCTTTTCACTTTTTTGATTTTTTTTTTTTTTTTTTTTTGGTGGTACGTGGGCCTCTCACCGTTCTGGCCTCTCCCGTTGCGGAGCACAGGCTCCAGACGCGCGGGCTCAGCGGCCATGGCTCACGGGCCCAGCCGTTCCGCAGCATGTGGCGTCTTCCCGGACCGGGGCACGAACCCGTGTCCCCTGCATCGGCAGGCGGACTCTCAACCACTGCGCCACTGGGGAAGCCCCGATAGCGTCCTTTGATACACAAAAGCTTCTAATTTGGATGAAGCTTCTATTTTTCCTTTGGTTGCTTGCATTTTTGGTGACATACTTGAGAAACCATTGTCTAATCAAGGCCACAAAGATTTGCACCTGTGTTTTCTACTAAGCATTTTATAGTTTTAGCTCTTACATTTTGGTTTTTGATCTATTTTGAGTTAATTTTTGTATATGGTATGAGGTAGGGGCCCATGCTCATTCTTTTTCTTGTGGATATCCAGTTGTCTTATCCATACTTGTTGAAAAGACTGTTCTTTTCCCATTGAATGATCTTGGCACCCTTGTTGCAAATCAACTGGCTGTAGGTATATGGGTTTATTTCTGAAGTCTCAATTCTATTCCATTGGTCTATATGTCTGTCCTAATGCCACTACCACACTGTCTTGATTGCTGCAGTTTTGTAGTAAGTGGTAAATGTAAGTCCACCAACTTTGTTCTTCTTTTTCAGGGGTTTTATTTTTATTTGTTTTTGGCTATTCAAGATCCCTTGCCTTTTAATTGCTTTTTTAAGTAGGGCAACTTGAATAAGTACAAATAAAAAACAATCTAAGCTGCTTTGTACTTAGACAACTACAAAACTAAAACAAATTTACAAGTTAAATACAGACAAATCTACGAAACTAATAACAGTCAGATTAACATAATGTCACAGCTGAGGCTTTTTCTTTAAAACTGAATTGCATCTTTCAAGGTGAATATGGTGTTAGTCATGGGACTTCTGCGTTTAGTGTGCCTGTACTTCGCATGCTGGGTGATGATGTATTTCTTCCTGCCACTCTTCCTGTTTGAGCCACTAGGAAGCTTCCCTTTATGTAGTATATTGTTATAATTTACTGACATTATTATCTTCATCTGGTACAGATGCATGATTTGTATTTTTTCCCCAACATTTTAATGAAAATCTTCAAGCAGACAGCAAAGTTAAAAGAATTTTATGGTGAACACCTGTATACCCATCACTTAGATTTTACCCTTGTATACTTGCTTTGCATTATTTACATTTTAAGTCTTCCTTCTCCTCTCATTAGCCCATCAAATACAAGCTTGGACATTGAAAACTTTTTAGTAGTATACATCATTAAATACGAGCAGAGATTTGCCTATACGAATTTTTTTGATCACCATCAAGATGAAAGCCCCAAAATAAATCTATAGAGAATTTGTAGACTGGAGGAACTGATACAGTTCAATGCCGTGTTTTGAGGCTGGAGTTCCATAAGTTGAGAAAGGGTGATCTGTGTGAGCCCAGCTGGTACCCTTTGGGGCAGTACAAGTTTCTCTCATGTACTTAGGATCTGAATTTGGCATATTTATGTAGCACTAGCTTTGAATAACTCTAATGAGCAGAGAAAAGTCACTTGAAATTGAAGGAAGGTTTAGTCCTCTGCTTGCTGCTTCTGTGAGCCTCTACTTGAAATCAATTGTGTGATTTTAAACGTTTTTTTTTTTTTAAACCTTGTTTCTTTTCCCTTTTCTTTTCCTGTTGTTCTGGAGATTATTTAATTCAATTTAGTTCTGTTCACTTCAGTTCAAATCAAACTTTTATTGCAGGCCTATTTGGGCCAAGTGTGCCCAGGCTGGTGGTTCTCAGCAGGGGAGGGAGGTTGATTTTGCCCCCCCAGGGGGACATGTGGCAATCTGTGGAGCCATTTTTGACTGTCGTGACTGAGGGGGTGTGTCAGTGGTCCCCAAGACCACCTCCAATTTTGATGATTTGCAGGAGGACCCACAGGACTCAGTGTGTAGTCATACTCGTGGCTATGTTTTATTACAGAAAAAGGATGTAAATCACAGTCCCCAGAGAGCAAAGGCACATAGGGTGAAGTCCAGGGAAACCAGGGGCAAGCTTCCAAGGGTGCTCTCCCCTTGGCATCGCACAGGAGGGGCTTACTTCCCCCAGCACCAAGTTGTGACAACCATGTGAAATGCTGCCCACCAGCTAAGCTCGTTAGAGATTCAGCACCCAGGGTTTTTTTGGGAACGAATCACATGGGCAGTCTCTGCGTGGCACGTGCTGTGCATAATTCCAGGCTCCCAGAAGGAAAGCAGGTGTTCAGCATAAACCCTGTTGTTTGTACAGTTTGGGCCCAGTGAGCCATTCTTACAGTTCTCCCCCCAAATCGAAGTTCCATGCACCAGCCAAGGGCCAGCCTTTCGAAAAAGAGAGCCATCAGGCTGTGTTAACTCTGTTCTGCACAGGGTGCTTCAGGCATCTGGTGGGTGGAGGCCGGTGATGCCGCTAAATCTCTATGATGCCCAGGGCAGCCCTCACTACAAAGAATCATTGGGTCCAAGTGTCGGCAGTGCTGCGGCCGAGAAAGCCTGGGCAAGACAGGGTGTGAGCAGGTGAGGAGCGAGTCTGGCAGGCTGGCTCAGCTGCCTCTCGGCCTCTTTCTTAAGACTGCTCGGCTGAAACTCTCTTTATTGTGTAATCTCTTGAGTATACTCTAGCTCTCTCTCTTTTTTTAAAATAAATTTATTTATTTATTTTTGGCTGTGTTGTGTCTTCATTGCTGCGCACGGGCTTTCTCTAGTTGCGGTGAGCGGGGGCTACTCTTTGTCGCGATGCGCGGGCTTCTTGTTGCGGTGGCTTCTCTTGTTGCGGAGCACGGGCTCTAGGTGCACGGGCTTCAGTAGTTGTGGCATGCGGGCTCAGTAGTTGAAGCTGGCGGGCTCTAGAGCGCAGGCTCAGTAGTTGTGGCGCACAGGCTTAGTTGCTCTGCGGCATGTGGGATCTTCCCGGACCAGGGCTCGAACCCATGCCCCCTGCATTGGCAGGCGGATTCTTAACCACTGCGCTACCAGGGACGTCCCTAGCTCTCTTACATTGGTTTAGGACTGTCACTTCCCTTTAGACTTAATCCAGGGAAAAAGCATACCGAAAGGAAAAGATTCAGTGAAGATGAAACAAAGGAGAGCAAACCACTCCGAACAGTAATTACCTTCAAAGAATAGTTTCAAAGATTTACAGGCTGTTTTCTTGGTGGTGTTTTCTTGGTAACGTAATCTCTAATTTTTATGTATAACTAGGCTGAAATTAAGATCTTTAGATGGCTTAAGGCTGCAGTTGATTTCTAAACTTCTGATGTTCAGTAACTAGATAGAGTAGCGCTCTACCTTCAAGGGCAGCAGAAGGACACTAAAGGCTGCGATGGGCGTGGTCCTCCCCCTGCTGGCCAAGGGGTGGATTTCTACAGCCCGACCTAGACCTGCCCTCTCCATTTCCCCACCGGTTTTGCAGTCTGGCCCTGCAGTTGTGTTTCTTTTACAAACAACACTCCTCTCCCTCTGAAAAAAAGGGGGAAAAAAGCAAAGCAAAGCAAAGACAGGCTCCAGACTCATCACACTTTCTAGGGACTTGGGAGGAGGCAGTGTGGGTGACCTCGCGGCAACATTTGGGATCTGTTGCTCTTTGTGAGAGTTGCTTTTTAAGGGAATTCCCACATCTCTTGAGGGCTACATAGAGTAGTAAGAGCCTTGTTTTTATTTTAAATCTCTCTCAATATTTTTCAATGGGAAGCTGAGGACTGCTGCTATTGATAGCTTCTTCTCACAGCTGTGTTGGCCTCAGCTGGAATTCTTGTGATTTTCTCTCTAAAAGGAACTAAATTGGGAGTTTACAACTGTTACTATTGAGGGAGACTTCGAGTTCTCAGCATGATTTTACTTAAGCTTCGATATCAGCACTGCTGGGAGGAAACATGAAAGTCATAGCTGGTAATTTTAGTCCTTGAAAGAAAAACAAATCCACCTTAAGATTTTGTTTGCTTAAAACTAAAATGGGCCTACTCCATCGACCAGCCATCTGCCGGGTCAGGGAGAGCCAGCATGCAGGCAGGGGGAACATTTTTAGACTCTTGTTCACATCTGCACATTTATGTAGAAAATGGTAGTGGTAGGTGGGGACCCAGGGAGCCTGGTGGCTGAGTGTCTAAAAATAGAACTGTGTTCTTAACAGTGAAATCCAACCCAGAGCCTTTCTTTACTCAAGAGTTTCTTTGAGCACCACATGTTAGCATCTGTATTTATTTCTCTGTCTATATAGATGGATCTCTGTCTCTCTCTCTGTCTCTCTCTCTGTGTCTACATGTATTGAAAACCATGCGTTCATATTGGTATCTTCAATTCCATCCAACACTGCAGGGGCATTCTGGTTTTTCTCTCTTTCCATATATATATATATATATATATATATTTTTTTTTTTTTTTTTTTTTCACTGCGCCTCTTGCGGGATCCTAGTTCCCCAACCAGGTATCGAACCTGGTCCGTCGGCAGTGAAAGCGTGGAGTCCTAACCACTGGACCGCCAGGGAGTTCCCTCTCTTTACGTATTTGTGATTCCCTTCTCTGACAGTGAGCAATCTGGCTCCCCTTATCCTCAGTATCTTATCTGCTCAGCCCTCTTGTATGGGACCAGAATTCTGTCGCGTTGTTGCCGCTGCCCCCTCACTGCACAGATACCCTCTCCACGCCCACTCAGACTCTGACCCTCATGTAGCGCTCCTGCTCTCCCCATCACCCCAGGACAGATACCCTCCTCACCCTTCTTGAGTCTGACCGCACACTCCCCCCCACCCCCGCCCCCGCACTGGAGTGATGCTGCTCTTGCCATGACCCTCCCCCACGCTTTCAGCCTGCCCGGCCTCTAACACTTCTCCTGGGCTGCCGGATGCCCTCCTAACCTCACCTGGTCTCAGCATCCCATGCTGGGGGGCCATAGCTACCTCTACCCCTTCCCCTGTCACTCTTTCAGGGATCTCGTACTCTGTGCCAGGCCACCTCCCTGCTCTTCCCCCAAGTAGAAGCTCTCCCCCCACTAAGACTTCAGCATTCCCTGTGGGCGGGCCACCCCGCTGTGCAGAAGCGCCCTCTTCCCTCCAGGACTCCAGCACTTTACCTCCTCCTGCACGGACACCCCCTTGGATACCAGCATGTCTATTCTTGTTCTTAGCAGCCCGGAGCACCAGTTTTATGTTACTTAAATAGAAAATCTCCAGAAATCTCCAGCGAGTCCCAGGGCTCCAGGACATCCACCGTAGAACCAGTGTCTTGGGGATTGGAAAGACCTTTAGAGGCCGTTCAGCTCTAACTTAATGTATACCTTTTGCTATTACTTCTTAATGAAAAGTTTTCTGATTTGTAATAAAAAGGACTCAGCACCTCACAAGACAGTTCATTTCATTTTCAAATGGCTTTAATTGTTAAGGTGGTTTCCATGCTTGTCTTGAGAGTTTGACTGTAAATCTTCCTCCTGTTTAAACAGACAAGTTTGATTACAGAAATACTTTGAATGGAGGCGGTCTTCACTTTGAGATGATCTGAGAGTGCTCCCTGTATGTGATCTTCCTATCATAAGTCATCCCTCTGAAAATTAAAATTGCTTTTACAAAAGAAAAATAATTGAGGCTCAGGGCTGGGAGTAGAATTCAAGAGTCTGTTTCAGTGGCTAGAAGGAATACTTTTGGCTGTAAATATACAGTGTATTGTTCAATAAAACGTGATTTAGGGGGAAGTTGCCCAGGATGAGAGAAACCAGTCGCTACAGCTGATCCACACTATCTCCCTGACGGGCTGCTGTTCCACGTCTCTCTTACCTCTGCTTGCCTCTACCCCGGGCTCTGGGTCTGCACTACCGTCCAGGGCAGCTTTCTCAAATAGATCTTTCAGCGAGGAGATGATCTGTATTCGTGCTGTCAGGTGCCCACTGGCCACATATGGCTGTTGAGCAGTTGAAATGTGGCTAATGTGACTGCGGAACTGGATTTTAAATTTTAATAGATTTAAATGGTCTCACGTGGCTAACTGCTGTTGGGCAGTGAAGTTCTAGGGAATCTGCTTGTCCCTTTCTTTCCTCCCTGTGGTGTGGGCAATACCCTTTGCTTTTAGTTCAGCTGTAGAAAGAAATGACCAGGAGAAATGGCTCTGAGGATTTGAGAGCCATGCACAGCTGTGGTGACTGCTGCTCTGTTGAACTGAATTGCTGGCAGGGAGAGTGTTCACCTTCTCAATCACTGCTCTGGGTCTTGTGGGCATGAAGCTTAATACTTGGGAAGGTGCCACCTTCTCCGTTAGAGAATGATTATTCTTTGGTCATGGGTGGATGCATACGGTGTTCTCCATCTGGACCCTCCAGATAAGCCTGAGAAACCGTGGAAAACCAAAACAATTACCCTTTCTTTCTCCCAAAGCAAGAAGGAAAGCGGTGGGGTGGGGAGTGGGGTTCAGACTGTGGCCTTTGGGTTGTTCCTTGTGCATTGCTTCCTGTTATCTCTCCTGGTGGCAGTACCTAGAGAGGTGTATGTTCAGTATTTTCCCCGGTCTGTACCAGTTTGAGGTAGATTTGAGTGAGTCCTGCTTCTAGGTCTGATGGGGGTTTCATTTCCTCTGGAACCTGCTTTATATTCTTCCTTTCTTCTACAGTGATCCCTGCTGGTCCCTCAGCCCATGTCGTGTTTATGCTCTGTAACCTGTCCGCCTGCGGGAGGGAATGACTTACCATCTGGTCTCCCCAGAGTCTTCCCCCAACTCCTGGCTTACTCACTTTGTGCTCACGTTTTGTCTCTCGTGGAGATTTAAATGGCGCTAGCTTCTTGGAAGTCCTCCTTTCACTCCATTTTCTTGTAAGCATCCCTGCTATCCAGATGTTAAGACTGGTTCTATCCCTTGGTGAAGATGGTTTTTTCCACTTGTTCTCAGTGCCCAGTCTGGTCTTCCCGAGTCCCTGTGGCCTTGAGGATGGGGATGTTGAGTGGCATAGAGTGCCGCCCAGCAGCCGGAAGCAGTCTTTCACCTATTCTGCTTTCACAGCCACTGTCCATTAAGACCCCTTGTTTTCCTGTTTGAAGGATTCAGCCCGCTCTCAGTTCCTTTTCAGAGCAGAGAGCTCATATAGAACTAATGGTAACATTTGATGTTCTTCCAAATAATCAACCAGTCAGTCCGTTTCTGTCTTTACACATATACATACACACACACGTAAAGCATGTTCCCTTAGCTCGGCATATTATAAGCATTTCCTCAAAACATTAAGAACTTTTCCCAAATGAAATCTTTAATGACGGCATGACGCTTCAGTATGTGAATGAGACATAGATTGCTTTCTTAGATTGTGTAATATTTTAGATATTCAGCAATGCCGCAGAGTATAATTTCCCAAAAAATCAAGGATGTGAATAAAGAAGGGTGAGAAAATGCTTGTTGCCATTAAGTTTAATATCAAAGTTGGTCTCACCTTGACTCGCACAGCGGCTGCAAGGTCCCAGTCCCTCGTTTTGTCCTTCGTAGGCCGCGGCGGTACTTCCTCCTGTCGTCCCAGATGGCTCTGCATCCCGAGTACAGAGAGGAGCTGGCCGCCCTCCAGGCCAGACACGGAGAAGCGGTGTTAGTCCTGGACAAGTGCACCAACCTCTCCGAGGGCATCCCCGCCGCCCGAAAGCGTTGCCACAAGCACCAGGTCTTCGATTACCCACAGGTGCTGCAGGTGAGTGCCACCCGGCACCTCTCTCGGGGCTCGGCACAGGTCACATCCGCAAGGTGAAACTGACCCCAACAGACAGGTGTTTCCCACGTTCAGCTAGCAGAGCTCCCCAAGGGGAGAGGAAGACAGACTGCTCTTCACTGCAGCCATGGACCTCCAGGAGCTTTGGCATCTGTGTACTGTCTGTGCAAAGCTGCTTGGCCTATGAGCGTTCCTAACTCCTTTCAGATATTCATCTTACTGCAAAAGCACAAATCCCATAGATTTACAAAAAAGCCACATAGACAAAGCAGGCATATGTATTTTGCTTTTATCACTGTATTCATAACCCAGCCCAGAGAAACTTCCTTCTCTATGGTGCAGCTTGTATCCTCTGACCGTGCCAACCCGCAAGGCCATGGTCAGCTTTTCCTGAGTGGGAGGTTTTTATTTTTTGTTACCGTTTTTGTCTCTTGGTGTTTTTGCCGCCCTTAGCATGTCCTGCTGGTATTGTGGAAGTGGCAGGGCTTCCGTAACCAGAAGCAGAGTAGCCGTTTTGGGGATGTTTTATAAGCAGGATATTTCACACTGCAAGGGCCTGGAGGCTAGGAAAGGAGAAATTGAGTTTTGTTCACTTAAATATTTAAAATACAGACAGGTTAGTTCAAGGAGAAATATCAAGGAGCTGGTGTGATTTTTTTTTTTTTTTTTATTTAAATCTCCAAAGAGTACTGGCCCATGCTGAGATTGTTAAAATACTTTCTTTCAAAAAGTGCTGCATCTCCTCTGGAATGTCTGACTGATAACAGTGGTGATGTGAGCAGGAGTATTTATAGTAACCTTTGTCTAGACAGGAAAAATGGTTATCAGCACGTGTGTGCACATCTGGACACCGACTCTTTGGGGCCAGCTGAGCTGTCCACCTGCGCCTCCACCATGACTGATGCCCTTTTTCCACTCTTGCTGTTTTCTGGTTTATCCCCGGAGGAATTTGGCATGTTGAGTTTCTTCATATTTTTTCTGAACTTTCCTTTTCTCTAGCTTTAAAGATTAAGCAGTGTTTTGTTTTTTAACTTTTTTTCCTCCTGAAGAGGCAAAAACTGGGAGAAACTGAGTATTAGAGATGGGGTCTTTTCTTATTTTGGTTGACTTATTGCAGCTGTTTCTTCTCGTGTACATCTCTCACTTTCCCAAACGTGTCCCACATCGAGTACAAGTTTGAGGCAGTGAACGAGGAAGAAATTGTTTGAGATTTTGCTTTTTGTTCGATGGATTGTTTCTAAATAGAACATATCTGTTTTACTATGTTTTCTAAGGCATTGCATTCATGAAATGAATGTCTTCTATATGCAAAGCACACTGCTAGATGCCATGGGGAGTAGAAAGATAAAAGGAGATTTGATACTTTCTATTTAGGGGGTCCTCTAGGGAGACTGATAGGCCCAGATCAAATAATTCTGTAACAAGGTAGGCGGAGGTAAGTGTCCTGAGCGCTGTGCAGCCACTGTGCCACAGTGTGTGTGCACAGCACACTAGGACTGAAACAATCCAGCCCTTGCAAAGTCACGTTGTTGAGTGTCCAGAGAAAGACCTAAACGTGGGTTGTGAACATTTTCAGAATGCCAGCAGTGGAGGCATTGCGCTGACACTGAAGAGTGGAAAACCAGAACATTGCAGCCACTTAAGCTTTTCAGTCTTACTGGTGTGACCTGTTACCTTTCAGCATTTTTGGTGTTGCTTGGCTTCAGCCCTTGAGAGAACTTCATGGTCTGCCGGGATCAGAGTAAGTGGATCAGTGAAACTGGTATGTAATCCCTCCCTCTGCCTGTATTCCTGCAGGAGGCTACTTTTTGTGTGGTCCTTCGAGGAGCTCGGCTGGGCCAGGCGGTGTTGAGTGACGTGTTGCGGGCCGGCTGTATCCCAGTTATCATTGCAGACTCCTACATTTTGCCTTTCTCTGAAGTTCTTGACTGGAAGAGGTGGGTGTTACCTTCTGATAAACTTTACACCAGGAGTCCCGCATGGATTAGATTTTAAAAGTCCCCCCAGCAATTGTAACGCATAGCTAGGTTGGAGAACTACTCCTTCAGACTGTTTTTGCTATATTTTCCATAAGGGGAGTTAGTCCGTTGGCCTGGAGCCAAGGTTGGCCAGCAGGCCTTTGGGCCAAATATGGCAGGCTGCCAGTGTTTGTAAATAAAGTTTTATTGAATCACAGCATACCCATTCATTTACACATGATCTTCGGCTGTTTTTGAGTGACAGTGGCAGAGTTGAGTACTGTAGTTTAAAATGACAGAGATTACGAGGCCTGCAAAACCTAAAATATTTACCATCTGGCCGTTTACCCTTGACCTAGAGCAGTGGTTCTCACCTGTGACTGTAGAGTGTACTCACCTGAAGAACTTTTAAACACACACCTGGGCCTTGTCCTCAGGACTGTTGAAGCTCCATGGGCAATTCTGATTTGTAGCCACCGTTGAGAACCACTGCTCTAGAGTCTGTTGAATTTGCACGAAGTGCTGGCTGGAGGCAGAGCGCCTGCACACGGGTGAAAGCTTAGAAACGCTCCCAGTGGATGGATGGACACGCGTGGGTCCTGCCTGGACGTGACTGTCAGTGCTGTGCTTCATGGAGTAGTCTGCTCGTCTCTTGTTGTTTCATTTCCCCAGGACTTTGGAGGTTAAAGGTTTTTGAAAACGAGTTCCTTTTGTACATACCTCTCAGGCTTGTCTTTGCCTCAAATGCTTAATTGCTTTCTCCTCTCCCACCTTTTTTTTTTTTTTTTTTTTTTTTGGGGGGTACGCGGGCCTCTCACTGTTGTGGCCTCTCCCGTTGCGGAGCACAGGCTGCGGACGCGCAGGCTCAGCAGCCATGGCTCACAGGCCCAGCCGTTCCGCGGCATGTGGGATCTTCCCGGACCGGGGCACGAACCCGTGTCCCCTGCATCGGCAGGCGGACTCTCAACCACTGCGCCACCAGGGAAGCCCCTCCCACCTTTTTTGATACCATGTTCAAGCCTGGTCACCACAGGTATTTGAACAATTTAAGTAGCATTCATTCATGTGTACATTCATTTATCTCACATTTACTGGAAAGCCCTCCGTGAATAATACAGGCTCTGCTCTTAAGGAGGTGAGAATCCAGTGGGGAAGACAAACCAACAATTATAATATTGTATGATAAACGCTGTAACAGATGCATGCAGGGGGTGCTGTGGAAACCCAGAACAGGGAGGGAGCCCAGTTCAGCCTCGAGGAGGAGGGTGTGTGATTCTCTGTGTCCTGGAGAAGCGATGAGCCACTTCCAGTCACTTATTCATCTGTGGAAATATGTATTGAGCACCCTCTCTCTGCCAGGTACTGTGTTGCCTATGGGGATACAAAGATGATCAAGGTCAGGTCTTGCCTCTGAGAAGCTCTTAGTCCAGTGGTGGGAGATAGACAAGTAAGCCAGTGATTACCAGATGCAGAGCTGAGATGCAGCCCTGGCTGGATGGGATGCTTGGAGGGGGAGGAAGAGACGCATACCCTTGCTGGCTGTGGGGTCGGGTAGGGCTTCTCAGAGGCAGTGACCCTGAGCTGAGCCTGAGAAGATATTCATTCCTACGAGGATCTAGATGTGCTTGGGTAGTTGTAATTAGGGATAAGTGGTGGAAGGGCTCTGGATTTGAAGACAAAAGGCTGGGATTCAGATAACCAGCTCTATTACTGGCTAGCTTTGTGATCTTGCCAATCATTTAACCTTTTTGAGCCTCAGTTTTCCCATCTGTATGGTAGAAATCATTTACTTATTTAACAAGTATTTACTAAGCGCAGTTGTGCTAGGCAATATGCCAGGTGCTCGGGTATGCTGGTGATTGGGACCAGACGTGGTTCCATCCTAATGGACTAGGCTAGTGGGCGGAGGGGGTCTCAGGTTTTAATAAATTAACCTAGATGAATATAATGACCAACTCTGCTGAATCCATGAAGGGTGAGTCGTCATCGAGCCCTCTCTCCCTTACCCAGCATCTCTAATCTGGTGGCACGTCCTGCTGGCTCCGCTCCCTCGTCACTTTCATCACTTCCTCCCTCTTAGCATCCCTTGCCTGGACCGTGCAGTGGGCCCCAGCTGTCCTCCCTGCTTCCGCTCCTGCTTTCTGTAGTTTGTTCTAACTCTTCAGGCAGAATGATCCTGTTGGAACATAACCAGATCATGCCGTGCTTTCCTGACCCCTTCTGTGGTTTTCTATCTCAGTGAAAGCGTAAGTCCTTAAATGGCCAGGGAGGCCGCAGAGGCTTTGCTGTGACCCTCCCTCCCCTGTTTCTCTTCATTGCCTGGTATTCTCCACCGTCTTTACTGTGCTCCTGCCACACTGGCTTCCTTGCTGTTGCTGGAACGTTCCCGACACCCTGCTTCCTCAGGGCCTTTTGCTTATTATTCCTTCTGGAATGCTCTCCCTCGGGTATTCCCCTGGTCCTCTCACTCCCTGGCCTTCCTTCCATGTCTCATTTGTTCACTGTTGTATTGCCAGGACCGAGCACATAGTAGGGGCTCCATAAATACATGCTGAGTAAATGAATGGATTGGGGAATGTAGCTAAAGGAGAAGAGTCATTGTTAATTCAGAGCGTGCGGTGAAGAGTGAAGAAGAGCACCAGGTAGGCAGAATTGGACACGCAAAGCCCTTGTGGTTAGGCAGAGTGTGGTATGTTCAGGAGACTGAGAGGGTACCTGTGTGGCTGAAGCACAGTGGGGAGTGGACAGAGGATGGGAGATGAATGGAGTGGTGCTGGGGAGCTGAGAGATGGAGCTGGTGGGAGCTCCTCTGAGCTGGTCAGCCCTGAGAAAGGGGCAAGGAAGAGGGACTACTCACTGCAAGGACTGTGGGGCTGAGGGTAGTTTGGGGTGCTGTTGCTTCTGCTTGTGAGAATTAAACAAGAAATGTACGTAGCAGTGCTTTGTGTACAGGGCTGCGCATCCATCAGTTGTTTTGCTCTTGTCTCTAGAGCATCTGTGGCTGTGCCAGAAGAAAAGATGTCAGATGTGTACAGTATTCTGCAGAGCATCCCCCAAAGACAGATTGAAGAAATGCAGAGACAGGTAAGGGGCCAGGCAGCCCTGTTGGGGAGGGGGCGTGGGTGACGTGAAGGGTAGCCCTGGCTGCTTGGGTGCAGAGCGGTGGCTGCTGGGTGTGTGAGTGGGGTTTATTTCCTCCACTACGTTGACCAGCCAAACTTAAAAGAGGAAAGCAGTGTTAGGGAGTTGCATCAGGTAAGGTTTGGAATAACAACTATCAGAGATTCAGAAATGCTCCTGAGGTAAGCCTGCTGTGACGCTAGGGTCACACCTCAGCAGTATGCTCAGGACGCAGAGCTGCCCCTCTCTGGAAGGTGGTTTACACGGCAGGTGAGGGTTCTGGTGACTGAGGTGGCTGTGGAAGCCAGCACGTTTCAGGGTGATGCTTCTGAGGAGCCTTGACCCCGAGAGTGTCTTGGTGTCAGCTGGCCTGGATCCCCCCTTCAGCGGCCCTCGTGATTACGAGGTGCCCTCCTCTCCCCAGAACACATACACCCTCCCTCTTCCCCTCTCAGGTCTCTCGTCTACCTTCTGATGCCCCTTCCCCTGGGCTGCTCTCCACTGTCTAACGCATCCACCACGTGTCCTGTTTAGTCCTGCTGCCGTTTCTCTCTCCCAAAAGAAGTTTAGTTGGGCTTAAATGTGAAACAAGTTAAAAACTGAAAAAAGACTGTCCCAGTATTGGTACTGTGCATGTTGTCTCTATTTCTTTTTTTCCTTTCTTTTTTTTAAAATTTTTATTGGCGCATAGTTGATTTACAATGTTGTGTTAGTTTCTACTGTACAGTGAATCAGTTATACACATACATATATCCACTCTATTTACTTATTTTTTTGGCCGCGCCGTGTGGCACGCAGTGCAGCATGTGGGATCTTAGTTCCCTAACCAGGGACCGAACGCCCCCTGCATTGGAAGCACAGGGTCTTAACCACTGGGCCGCCAGCGAAGTCCCTCCGTTTCTGTTTTGTAAATAAGTTCATTTGTACCATTTTTTTTAGATTCCACATATAAGTGATATCATATGATATTTGTCTTTCTCTGTCTGACTTACTTCACTTAGTATGATAATCTCTGGGTCCATCCATGTTGCTGCAAATGGCATTACTTCATTCTTTTTTATGGCTGAGTAATATTCCATTGTATATATGCACCACATCTTCTTTATCCGTTCATCTGTTGATGGACATTTAGGTTACTTCCATGTCTTGACTGTTGTAAACAGAGCCGCAGTGAATACTGGGATATATGTATCCTTTCAGATTATGGTTTTCTCTAGTTCTTTTTTTTTTTAATGGATTTTAGCAAGTTTTTATTTCTATCAAAATTATCTATGTAGGTGCTGAGCTGGAGAAGAGGTTTGGAGGGCTCTCAGCGTTGAGGATGTAACTGCCCCATGCACCCCTGTGTCTAACCTTGTCCCAGGAACGAGCCTCAAGCCTCTGTCTGGGCTAGGGCAGGGCAGTCACCCAGCTGTGTGTGGAATGGGGAGGAATTCTGGGCTTCTAACTGCTCCTTAAATACATTTTCCATCTGTCCTCCTGCCCTGAGCACTGCCTTTTCCCCTGAGTTTCTGCAGCGGAACCCAGATTTTTCTCAGCTGATCTAGGATGTGCTCTCTTGGGCCTATAGCATCAGCTACCACCTTTCCTTCTGCTTTTCCGCTTCCACATTTTGTTGCTGTTATCTCCTCCCCCGTTCTCTTTATCTCTCAGTGATTATGCCTTAATTTTTAAAAATTCTCCTTAATTGTCATTTTAGGGTTTTAGGAGGGAGTTAGTGAATGTGGTCAGTCCACCTCTTTATTTTGGTACCGAGCTTCTTAAACCAAAGAGATGGCACATCACACAGTAGTTAAGTCTGTAGGTTCTTACCCCAGACTGCCTGTGTTGAATGCCAGCTTGCCCAGTTACTAACTCTGTGCCCTTGGCCAAGGATCTGCCTTCTCTGGACCTCAGTAGCCTCATCTGTAAAGCATTTTGGTGTTCTGATTTGAAAACAAATCACAGGTTGAGTTTAGCCTCCCTGAAGTTTTTTCATAGCACACCCATGTTCGTTTTAAGTTTCTGGGCTTCCCCGTGTGTTACTTAATTCCTGACCTCATCTGAGTTTTAGTGAATTAGAAAGTCAGTCTAGAGATCTCTATGTTCTTGATCTAAACCTGTGATTCTTAACAACTCATGTAGAAGAAAATGCTCCTTGAAGGGCGCTGGTATTTATGCTCTTCGTGTTTCTTTTTATGGCTTCTTGATTTGTTAACATAATTAAATAGAAAATCATTGCTAAATCAGACATCACCTTTTTCTAGATTTAGTTTAAAAGGCTAAGAAAACACTGGATAGGTAAAAATGAGCAAGTTCTGTCCAGTTACCTTCTCCCCCCGGCCACCTTTGTGTTGGAAAGAGAATCACTTAGTTCCCAAGCAGAGCTCCCACTGTCAGCTCACAGAATGCCCTTGTTTTCCGGGAGCTTGGTTTGGGAACCATAGGTCTGAGACGAGCCTGGCCGGCCTTTTCGGTGACAGGCTCGGAATCATAGAACCGTTGAGATGGAATGACTAAAGGTTACTTAAAACAGTGCACTTTTAGGTTTTTTTGGTTCAAAGAGACACACTTGGAGTCAAAAGACTCGAGTTTGAGCCCTGGGTCTGTCCCTGTTAATTATACAACCATGACAAGTTACCAAAACTCCTTGGACTTTCCTTTCCTCATTTATGAAATCAAGGCGTTGGCTAGAACATCTCTCATGTTCCATTCAGCTATTAAAAAACGCTGTGAAACTCTTGTCCTTGACAACATTAATAATTAAGTGGTCATCTCTTTCCCATGACCACCTCCTGTCATGAGGGCCTGTTACTGTCTCTGGTGGTGAATAACCTACATTATGTCAACTTGGAGGATAAAGGCAGTCTTGGTACTTTCCTTCCTCCCGTTTCTAATTCTCCCTCTGCTTGCTGATGCCCCTTTTCTCTGTGCTGTTTTCAGACCTTCTGGCACGCTGCTGCCATGCCCCGTTTAGTCCTGCTCCCCTTTCTCCGAATATTCTACATCTCCAAAACGACCTCTTTTCTTCTCCCAACCTCACATTTCTAGACTGGACTGATCTCAACTAAAGGTGAGATTATCTGGTTGAAGCAATTCCCAGATAGTTACAAAGGATGAATAAGTTCAGCTGCCAGATGCCAGCAGTACACCTGTCTCCCAAGTTGGGACAACTGACAATGTCTCTAGACGTTACCAAATGCCCCCCATGGAGCAAAATTTCTGTGATTGGGAACCACTTTTCTATTGATAGTTAATCATCTCTCTCTTTTGTCCTTTCCCGAATATGCTTGTCATTTTGCCTTCTGTATACCCTCCATTGATTTAATCTGACCTTGGCAGGAGTAACTGAAAAAATAGCACACACTTGGTTCTGGAAAGTTTTTACACCTTAGTGAATTCTCTTTAGGGAGGTCAAATTTGAGTCTTTTTGTAAGACAGGCATAAACTTTTAGGGGAAAACCTGTTGCATCGGTAGCTGATACCTTGGAACCCCTGGTTGATCATGTTAGAATGAGCTGAGACCGAGGAACAGAGGGTCTGATTTTCTTGCTCGGCAACTCAGAACCGGCTCAAGGGCCTGCGTGGACAGCTGTAGCCAGCAGAGGGCTCCATCCACTTTTAAGTGACTGATTTTCCTTTTGAGTGTTTCCAAGAAGTCCTAAGTGCTGTGAGCTACGTTGACATTGTCCTCAGAGCCGCTCTCTCGAGACCCGCTCCTTCCTGCACTTAGCACAGGATTCTGCTCTCCTGTGATGGAATAGAGCCAGAGTTTCTGAATTGACCCCAGAGATGTGGGGTGGGATCTTGGTGACGAAGGTATTGCAGTAACTTCTTGCAGCTTAGAGTTCAGGGGCTATAATCTGATCGATGAATACATGGTGAAAATCCTTAACATGACTCGGGAGTTAGGATGTACCAAGAGAGAAGGATATTCTGCCTGACAAGGAAACCTAATTAAGTTTTCCACCTGACCTTAGACGCGCTAGTGAAGCAACCATAACGTTAAATGCAGGGCTAGACCCTGAAGTTAGAGCTGGGGTCAAGCTAAGATTTTTGAAGTACAACCTGTGTGTTATCTACCGCTAAAGGCGAACAGCCAGCAGTACTGGCATATATGGCATTGAAAGAGCTGGGGTGGCTTATGGGGTTTTTTGTGGTTAAGTTAAAAACCAGTTCCTTCAATGAGAGGTTAATAGTTACAGCGGTATAAAGCCAACTTACCAGTCAGCCTTTAATTGTCCTATGAGCTAAATTAACTAGTTAATTCATTCAGTGCAGCCCTAATTATGTTTCCCCCCCCCAAGGGGAGATGATGGGAGATGATAAGCAACCTGTGATCCCCACCCACAGAGGCCTAACAGCCATCTTGGGGATATGTGGGAATAAGCCTGAAGAAAGCTGAGAAGATGGTGCAAGTTTTCCAAAGGATGTCAGGGGTCTGACATGGGAGGATGTACGGGTTAAAGCTGTTAGGGACAGCTTTATTGGGGAGGTAGCATTTGATGTAAGCCTTAAAGATGGGGAGTCCCGTCAACCATCTTTCTCACATTGGAAACCAGGAAGAAGTATGCAACCAAGTATTTTTCTATAGTCATATGGAACATTCACATCCCCAGTCTCCCTTTGAATCACAATGGAAAAGAAAGCAATCTGGGATATTGGAGGGCTGAATAGACACTGGACTGTATAGTTAGAAGTGTTTGTGTGGATAGGGGGGAAGGCGTAAACGGATCCCCAGTTTATCTGTTGAGCGGAGTTTCCAAACATTCTTTTATTGGTCAGTGGCTCCACCAGCAGTGACCTCTAACCTCAGCCACACTAGGAGGTGGAAGTCAGGAGCCTGCCTTGCCTTTGAACTCTTCTTTGTACTCAGTTGACTAGGAGCCTTTGAGGTGGCAGAAACATTCAGCATCTTCTTTGCTCTATCTCTCCTTTAATGCTTGGCTAGGTTAAAATGTCCGTTTCTTTTCAGTCTATTACAC